CCCCAAAACGTACTGAGAACGTCAGGCCGAGACGTTTCGTACGTACTGGGGACGTCCAGATTTGGTACGGTCGACGTTCAGGTACGTACTGGGGACGTCGCCAGATTCCGCGCGTTTGTACATCCTCAGTACGTCTATTCAGGACCATGGATACATGAATCAACGTATATCCGCCTCTTTTCACTCAGATAGTCAAAAAAGAGATTTAGATAAAGTAAAAAGTCTTATTTTGGATGTATAAAAATTAAAAAAAAAACGCGTCTACCGGGGATCGATCCCACTACCTTTAGATCACAAAAAAAAACAACTTAGTCTATTTATTTGATCTATTAAATGAGTTACATCACCTGGCAGATGCTCAACCTATTACTCTGAAAAACACTTGTTGATTAACAGTATACAACAAGCAATATTATGTGCGAATGCCGATTGACTCATCACATCGATACTTTTCAAGAATTAGATAATCACGGCAGAGAATACCTAAATAGATGTTTTGTGATCTGGTGGGGCCAGTAAATAATAAATTTATTGTGATCGAGCATTGTATTTTTGTTCTATCCGTCATTCGGTTGCCCCCTTACGAGCAACCCTCAAAAGTCTTCGAAAGTCTTGTGCGAGCAAGGAATGACGGGGGCCTTACCTTTTAACGTGTGATCCCAAACACTTTCTTGGGCCATCAGACAAATTTCTGCAGTCGACGGGGATCGAACCCACGACCGGCAAGCGAATGCGAATTAGAATATAGACACTCTGTCCGCACGGCTACCTGGCCACCGTATTATATGTTTATGTTTGCAAGGTTCCTATATGAGTAGATTTCAGAGATCGAGGGTAGGAATTGCATATGCAATGATTTCGATTATCATTAAACAATTTATTCAATCCCGTAAACAAAAAGTCGATAACGTCCAGAGTTGGACGTACCCAGTACGTCCGGAAATGGACGTTTTCAGTACGTCTTGTAAAGGTCCCGGACGTTCAGACCTAAATGGGACCTATAAATAACTGGATGTCCCCAGGACGTCCAGTGCTATATGGGTTTGAAGATGAAATCATATACCGAATTTGAATGCAAAATATTCAATCATTCCTCGAGAACAGAACACTTGAAAACCGTATGTCCCTATATAAGAAATTGTCAAGCGATGACATGTCCCTATGTAAGAAATTGTCAAGCGATGACTCTCGAATTTCGAAATACCCTGTATACAGGAAAGTACAAAGAAAACGGTCAGTGCTGTAACTTCTGAATAATTCGAGTTCGGATTTTGAATTTGGGGGAAAAATTTTTTAATCAGACCTCAAATGATTGAGAATAAGTTACGGCACTGGACATTTTTTGTGCACTCCTCTTATATATTTCACCAGTATGACCACAATTTCGTCCAGTTTGAATGTGAGTTGAAATGGATGATCTCGAAATTTTAGATAGATTAATTTCTTGCAATAAATGAGATTGGGGTATACCACTATTTTTTTAAAACCTCATCATCATCGTGAGCTCTATAAAAAAAATTACCACTAAATAAAATTTTGAATTTTTTCATTCATAATAGGATGTAAAAACTTCACAAACGATAAGATTTCCACAATATTTTCATACACACGACATGTTTCGCTAACACTTATTCATCAGGTGATATATTGGTATAGTTCATTGCAACTCACCGAAATTGCTGCATTTCATTCTTGAACGTATCACTCCAAAAATTGGTAGCTGAGGGCTTTTTGGCATGCGCAACCCGAATACGGACATCCTTTCACTGAAATCTGTTTCAGAATATTTTCAAGCATGCAAAAGATGCACATGTGAAAATTCGCTAAATTGAGCCGTTTCCGAGATATTTTGGTTTTCAATGTTCGATGCCGCACCGGAATATTCAAATTATTTTCAATAAAAAATGTCAGCCGTTATCTTCGTGGATGTGATTTGGAAATTGAATGAGCAGTGCAAAAATAGATTTTCCAAAATAGTTTTTTGGAGTGTGCTTGCCAATTTTCATTTTTTAAATTGACCACCCTGTATCTCGTGACCTCAGGACTACGTGCTGAGATTTTGTACAGACCTTTCAGGGACACCCTGTAGATATTTCCAAACACAAAAATAAACTTAGATAGTTGCAAAATATACAGCATGTCTATAGACTTACTTAACTTGGCTACATATGGCAACATGTTTTATCATTATCATTTTATGAAAAAAAGTTAGTCTCCATAAGATCTGCATGGTTCTAATACCAAAAAAGCAATTATAGTTTAATGTTAACCGACTACCCTCCTTTCCATGACACTTAATTTGGGCGTATTAAGGGTATTGGCTATTTACCTACCAAAAATATTTATCATTTTTCGCTCCTTACCTAACGAGATTTTTGTCTGGTGTCTGGCGTTCGCTGGGTGATCTGCGGTCGCGCTAGTGTTCTCCCACCACCGCGATGATTAAAACTATGACCCTCTCAGTCTTTCTAGATTTCACACATTAAGAGATATTTTATCACGCAAAAATCTACTCATGCTTTATACTTCCTAAGTGGAATCCATTCTCAGATATTGCATTATAATATGGGGAGCAGCTTTCGCAGATAACCTACGCCCACTGTATATCACACAAAATTCCATTATGAAGATTATATTGAAAAAAAAAACGAAACAGTATTGCACAGAACTACTATATGAAGAGTCAAAAATCCTTCCAATCAGTCTTTTGTACGCCGACCAATGCATAGTTCGGGTACACACAAATCAAGACGGACTGAAAAACAGAATTGTCCACCCTACTAGACAAACTGATATTGAAGAATTATTCATCTATACATTTAAAAAATCCTCGACAGAGAGAACATTCCTCTTCTTCGGACCTAAATTCTACAACTCACTACCAATACATCTTATAAAAATAAAAATACTACATAAATTCAAATCAGCAATAAAAAAATATATAAAAAGTAACAAGGAACCTTTCTTCAAAATAGTACGATAGTTTATTTGAAAAAAATAAAATGAAAAAGGAAATGAATAAAAAAGCTGTAACTTACCGATGCTGCTACCCCTGCCCTCTACCAACGATAACATATCAAGAATCAGATATTGTTTTTTTTTTCGGAATGTCTGAAACGATATACATACAAGGCTCATGCCTGTATGAGTATGTAACACACTAATAATACATTATGCCCGCCTAATTTTTTATTATATTTATGTACAGCAGTTCAGTGGTTAAGAGAAGCCCTAGGTGCAAAACAAATACAGGCATCTATGCCTAGGTGCGTTGTATCCAGAGAGCAAATCTCACCTCATATATTATTCATTAGAATATGTAAAACTTGTTTCTCAGACTGTATATGAAATATTTGATTAAACCTAAAAACCTGAGAAATCTGAACGTATGTAGATTTATTCCATTATGAACGCCTGTCGAGCAATTTTGATGAGATGGGTTGTTGGTTGTTTGCATATAACATATGCGATATAGATATAAGATTATGTCTGGGACTCAAACACCAAGTGTGACTGACATACGTCGATGATGAGATGGAGAGTTCGCGGATCCTTCTGTTTTCTGGCGTTCAATAAAGATGAGATTTTCGGGTGTGGAGTGCATAACATATAGAGGCTTAGATAGTAGGTCTCAACTATTTTTGTTGAAAAAATGGGGCACATTGTATGTCTTCAATTTCATTTCCTTATATTCATTATTCCAAATTTTTTGGGATTTTCTCTCCTCGTTTCTATAAAATAAAAATATGAATATTATTTCAATATACGTGTAGTAAGGACAAATCAGATGATTTGCCCCAAAATGTCACTGCGTTTAAAGAATTTTCCTATCAGAGAGCCTAAAAGAAAAATTCACTAGCTTGTCAGTGACAATTTGTATTGAAAAAATTTTTGGAGAAGAGAAATAAAGGTATATATAAAAAATATCAAATTTTCACTTATCTTTGGACGTTTCGGGACCGGTTCTGCTCCCGTTTTCAACATGAAAAGAGATTATTTCAAAGCGAAGTCGTATATATTTTTATTTTATAGAAACGAGGAGAGAAAATCCCAAAAAATTTGGAATAATGAATGTACCACCTCCTCGATTAACCTACAGACAGTATTCATTTCCTTACCTGATAAAACAATGATTTCATTGTTATAGTTGTCGTTATACAATAAATCACATCTCCCGCAGAATGTCAATACATATTCTTCTGATGACAGCACTGTTTCTGAATGACATCAAATCTGAATTACATGTTATTTCTGTTGTAAAATCATTTCGTTATTAGGTATATTATGTTGAAGCAGGAGAACAAATATAGTGTATAGGTACCCCTCACAGACTGCTAATTTCCATAATTCCCAGTTTTTTTTGCTTGCAGTTTCCAAAAAATCATCGGGCACGATGAAGGATTCTTGAAATCCATTCTCATATTCCAGAGATTACCTTTCACACCGAAAGAAGGAGTTTGAAACTATAAAATCACCTTAACTGTTACCGTCCTAATCTCGAATGAATCGGATGTGACATCGGTACTCAATTTTTGTAATTCCATATTCCTTGTAAAATATGGTCGTGTTCCAAAAAAAACTTACCCGCTCTTTGAAATTATGTTCTCAGCTTCCTCACAGACTGCTAATTTCCATAATTCCCAGTTTTTTTTTGCTTAGTTTTTACGTAGTAACTAAACCGATCAGTAGGTTATGCACCTGTCTCTTTTCATTAACAGTTGGATGTGTCAGGTATCAGAAAGAACATTTGTGGGGGATCTACGTCTTTATAAGTTTGTGCAGTTTCCAAAAAATCATCGGGCACGATGAAGGATTCTTGAAATCCATTCTCATATTCCAGAGATAACCTTTCATACCGAACGAAGGAGTTTGAAACTATGAAATCACCTTAACTGTTACCGTCCTAATCTCGAATGAATCGGATGTGACATCGGTACTCAATTTTTGTAATTCCATATTCCTTGTAAAATATATATGGTCGTGTTCCAAAAAAAACTTACCCGCTCTTTGAAATTATATTCTCAGCTTCCTTTGCCATATTCAATGAAAACTGCGTATGATTGTAGAGATCGTCAAGCTTCTTATTAAAATCTTTCAAGTCATTTTCAACTTTTTCAACTTCAGACTGAAGGTTTTCCACTGGCACTTTATATTCAGTAACATTTCTCAAAATTTCTTCGACCCTGCTAGTTGCATTGTTGGCTTTCGCTTCCCTTTGGGTTAGATCGTAAGATTTCATTATGTCATAAATTGCCTGCCCTTCTTTCAGAGCTTTGTCGACTTCTGCACCTAAAAAACAGTGATATTATTCCAGGAAAACTGAACAGGTTAGCTGACGTCAGCTCAGTGATAACCAGGAGTTGATGTGCTACTGCTAATTTGTTGTTGTTTTTTATTACACCAAAAAACACCTTTGTTCATAATATGTATACATATAACAAAAAAAAACAACTGATCAACTCTAATATGTTTTCAGATAAAGTTGGCGAAACTCGTATTTCAACCTTGAATTAATGATTATCAGTTTTTACCTGCTGCTTGATGTAGTTCAGTGAATATTTTTTCGATATTTTCTGCAGTCCTGATAGAATCTTCTTCCACATCAGATATTTCATCCAGCAAAATTTCAATTTTGTCTTTCAACCCGTTGGATTGATTTTTCAAACTCTCACTGTTTTCCAGTGAATAGTTGGACTAGAATCGAAATAAAAAATTACACATATCTTACTGCAATCCTTTGTTTTTAATAAAAACCTTTCGGTTCAGATTCTTGGAATCCTGTTCTAAGCTTTCCAACTCCTGTATGGTGGCATTCAAATTTATGTGATTTGGATTGACTTCGTCGAAAATGGGTTTCAACTTTTCTAGTTGTTCCTTCATATTCTCTAATCTTCTTCTCGTGAAATAACCAGATTGGGTTGACTAAAAGAAATGATATAAAATATTGCGATAGCTATACAAGGAATTAGAGAAGTAAGGCTCCTAACTAAAACAGCTGACAAAACCTATCACCTGCCATGATGAAAATTAATACCATGTTAATAGTGGAACCAATTATTCTCTAGACAGAACTTCAAAAGACACTCACATCAAAATCGAAAATAACAGGGTCAATTATAAGTGACAACTGGTCAGTTTCGTCCAAGAGGGCGTGATGACAGCTGTCACACTGGTGGCAGCCAATATCTGGTACGAATGCCCATCTGACAGGGCATTGATCACATTTTTCTCCTATAACTCCCTGAAGGCATTCACATTGACCAGTTAGGGCATTGCAACCGAAGCCAAGCGAGTATTCAGATTTACAACCACATGCTATAAAAATGAAAAAAAAAAAAAACATTTAACGATCAATATAATCGGTACGCATGTACGTTTTAGGTGATCCTGACTGACAATATAGTTTAAAAATTCCAAATAGAACTTTTTGGAATTTGCGCCCACAAAATGGTGCATTTTAAATACCTACTTCACCTAACAGACAAAGTTTATAAAGATTGGAATAGATAAGTAATTAAAATTCCACGGGGGATGTAAGTTATCATCGTGGATATAATGTACAAATACTTGAGTTCACGATAATAAATATGTATACTGTAAGTTATATTACATGATAATGTTCAGCAGAAATGAGTTGAGTATTACAAATCATGATATGAAGCGGATAAATTATATACGTACATGTACATCCTTCTGATGTATAATTCCAATAACCACCAGCACATCGATCACAAGATCTTCCCGTGACTCCTGGCTTACACTTACACTGCCCTTGTAGATCTTCACACTGATCACTGTCAGAAGCCTCAGCACAATCGCATGGAGTACAACCTTGGCCTAAGAATGAGTATAATGTATTCACTATAAACTGAAGGTTATGCTGAACCAATCTAGTATTTTTATATGAATGTTTACCTGTATGGTAGCCATAATGTTCAGGTGCACATTGGTTACATCTGTCACCAATGACATTGGGTTTGCAAACACATTTTCCAGTATAACTATCACAGCGTTCTGTTCCTTGATCATCACAAACGCAAGCTGTAAATGATAAAAACAACTGTCAATACAATGATTCTACAATCATTCAACTACTGAGAGAGTTTCTTGACAGAAGAGAACAACTTAGAATCATAGAATTTCCTCAAAGGTCAGGACTTGGCTATATACCTAAATGTCACTGTAGAATTTTCACTTACAATATATTTGTGTATGAAGTCAAATCTTTTGCTATATAGCGCAATTGGATCTGGTGTTAGGTAAGTTACTTATTACATGTTATATTGTAGACACCACCATGTTAAGACTATCTATATTTTAGATTTTCAACTTGAATATAGATATACTTATACATTGGTATTGTTCTTTGTACCGAATTTCATTGTAAAAACCCATATACGTTACAATAAATTGAATGAAAACATTTTTTTGTACTGGAATGACCAATGTATTATTATTATTGATAATCAAGTATTATTGTTTGAAATAATGTAAAATTGAATAAAAAAGGTTGATTCCAAAGAATATTAGTACATAAAAAGTTCTTTCACGTTTACTCCCTACATAGAAACATGACTCCCGAGCACGACCGAATATTTTGCCTATGTAGCGTTTTCTAATGAAAGCATGGTATGTTTAGCATTGCAATTCACGAGCGTGAATTTTTGAATTGAAATGGGATATTGTACAAACAGCACGAATTTTGTCACTTGATAATACCAAAATATGTTGTTTTTGAGAACCCTGAGGAAATCTTATCGGAAATTGTTTTCGAAAGCCTTTTGTGATTGTGTTTCTCAGCAAAGGAGAGTTTTTAACTTCCACATGTTCCATAATCCTTCAATTTCTAGAAAGCCGCTCAACACAATTCCAGATATTCTGGTGAATTAATATGTACTGAAGACGAATTAATAGATAGGGGATTTCATTCTGTGTTTTTGCTCAATAGGTGGCGATCAAAATCTCCATAATTTTATGCGAAAATACTTCAGTATCCAACCAGGCTGAATTTTACCATTACGGAAAGAGATCATGAGAAAAAATCAATTTGCAAATAATTTCAACTTCTCCATCACAATATACAAAATGATATGTTGAAAATGAGAAATCTTTAGACATAATTATGCTCTTAGGAATTTCGGTGATTACGTAAATAACGGATATTATACACTATCATCCCAATTTACTCAATATCCACTGAAGACTTCCAGGGCAAGTGGAAATGTTTCTTACTTTGACAGTCTTTCAAGTTTACAGCATCTCCAAAGAATCCAGGAGCACACATGGCGCAAGCCTCTCCGAACGTGTTGTTCAAACACCTCAAACATGATCCAGTGACGGTGTCGCAAGAAGCTGGATCACTTGGGTTGATATTTCCAGAGCACTGACAAGGCTTACAGTGGTCACCTAAAAGAAGTCCAGTGTGAAAACAGTGCTGACGCTGACACGGTCAACATTAGATATTTATGTGAATTTGTTTAAATCTTACCAGCCTGTTCTGGTCTACCATAAAATCCAGGAGCACATGATTCGCATCTAGCCCCAATATAACCAGAAGTACACTCACAGCTGATCTTTTCTCCATCAGAGCTCAGGTCGCAAGAAGTTGCAAAACTGTAAATAAGAAAAATCAGAAATGATTCCTTTCATATGTTGGTATGTTGCAGTGGCGGCTCCTCAGAGGAGGCAACGGAGGCTGAGCCTCCTCAGAGATTCTCCTCAAACTGATATTATCTATACTTTCTCATTGAAAGGACACTGAAATACATGGATTTTGATATTATTTCCTGTCTTTAGGTGCATATTTTTGAATTGGCAACAGTGCTTGCCCACGCAACACACGTTTAAGTCTGCAAATCACGCGTAAAATATTCAACTTGGCAACATCTATAGGAGGTTAGACTCCTTCACAATTCGCAACTCACGCGCGCAATGCAAATGCCCGAATACGCCCGAATAGCACGTGTTTGTCGTGTCGTGTCGCGTCGCAAATTGCGGACAATCCAGCGAGTGCATTGTTATGTTAGGTTAATGGTTAGGGGCTCTATAAATTTCTGAAAAATGAGTGTTTCAAACGATTGCGATTTAGTGGAATACTTTTTGGTGAACCCATTCAGTGCTTTGACTTATGAAGATAAATTGATTGTGAAAAACAAACGTCCGACACCGGAATAAAAAAATCTGATTGCAACAGGTAGCAAACAAAATCGTTCGTTCAATTATTCTGATAATTATAAAAAATATATCTGGTTGACGGGATCTGAGGTAAGGAATAAGCTATTTTGTTGGTACTGCCTATTATTTGCAACCGATAAGTCATCATGTTGGGGGCGATTAGGATATAATGATTTGAAAAATTTGCCTCGCGGATTTGATAGAAACTGCGAATCACAGGAACACATATCTTCAAGTATTAAGTTCAGGTTAACTGGTAAACAGAATGTCATTAAAGCTATTGATTTGGGTGAGTCGTAGAGAGTTGTTTTTCACAATAAATCTCATATCATTCAGCCTCCTCTGTCATGAAAGTCACGAGCCGCCACTGGTATGTTGGAAATGTTGAGTCTTGAATTGAATGAAATTTTTTAATCTACAAATGTTGCCAACAAATATTTTTTCTGCCTTTCTATTTCATTTCGAAGCGAATAATTCGCAGTACATATATATATCTAATCCGAGAGTGAATAATGTTCAGGGCTTTACTTACTTATTGCTTTTGATTGGTAATGGACAAGCGCATATCAAACAATCCATTGGGGTGCCAGCTAGAGCATTTCCATGGTAGCCAACATCGCAAAGATCACAGTGGTCACCTCTAGTGTTATGGATACAATCCTGAATGAAAAAGAATAATCAGAACAGAATATATCAGAATGGTGAATCAAATGAATGTGAAATATTTAATACAATTATATTGATCATGATAGCTAAGGTTGTCCTGGTTGAAACAAAATGTCCCGAACAATATTTTTATGGGCACCGCCTGATATCAGTATGATTCAATGAAGCTTTTGCAGTACCAATTAGCCTTTTTTCCGCAGGAACATAACCGAATGTTTTGATTATAAATCCAGTGCCATAATCAGGCCTTGATGTTCGACTTGAACAAATTCTCCCATATAAAAAGTCGTGGTTTTGCACATCCTTTCGTTATCAACCTCGAAAGATGTCGAACAGCACTTTATCAAAACTCCTTCATCCACAGAACGGCTAGGCTCTGGAATTCATTGCCTGGGGAAGTATTCCAACAACGAATAATCTCCAGAAGTTCAAAAAAAATTCCAATACCTACCTCCTGTCCCTATCCTTCCTAGGAACGCACGATGTTCCTTAAACATTATAGGGATTTCCTTTCGTGCGCTCCAAGCGATAAAAAAATAGATGGGTATCCTTGTCAGTGGTCGTATGTCAAATGATGTCAGATATTTCTTCCAACAGTTATTTTCTTGTCATATACAAATTTCGATCTAAATGTGGTCCAGTGAGTATGGATATCGTCAGTGATATGAGAATGATTCTATGTATCTTTTTTATCCAAATCATTTTCTACATTCAGCATATAACTGCTGCGAATATCATGACAAGTTCTTATGTTTGAAAAAATGTTATGGGTTCAAATTCGAACTTAGGGTGAGTTTCAAATATGCGTTCTATTTCATCAACAACTATTAGAGAAATGTATTAGTTACTGATTTTTTCATATGTTCTCAAAGATCTGAGAGTATTAAACTCCTAGATAGTGCCTAAAGAGAGAGAGAGAAATGGAAAACATAAGAGTGAGACGCAATTAAATAACGAAATCAGCTGATGGTTGGGTACAAATTTCGCCACCATGATAGTTGCATTGTACAGGGTTATCCATCGAGAAGGCCCACCCCCATATCTTCGTTATACTTTCACTTAGAAAAAAAAATAATATGCGGAAATTCAATGCCGCAATGAGACCTTCCTGAGGCATTCATCAGAGGTTATACAGGATGATTCCTAAGAGCGTGGCAAACCACAAATCAATTTTTTTAAATGGAACACCCTGTTTTTTATATTTTTTTCGAGATCTGTGATCTTTTGCGATCACAAATATATGAATATACAGTATGTTATCTTTCACTGTTTTTCGTTAATCACAATTTTCCTGGTCCCAGAACAACATTTTGTGTGGGATGGCATCTTTATCGTGCAACTATAGAGTTATCCATGATTGAGAATGTATTCGACTCCCGTTATTTTTTTATTTTTTTTCATCTATTGAAGCGCACGGAAGGAAATTCCTATAATGTTCGAAGAACATCGAAAATCGTGCATACCTAGGGAGGATAGGGAGATGTGGTAGGTGTTGAAATTTTTTTCTAACTTTTGGAGGTTATAAGTTCTTGGGAATTCTTCCATTGGCAAAGAATTCCAAAGCTTCGCCGTTACATGTATACATTATCAAATACAAGCAGAAACATCGTGACCACTTATTGAAAATAATCAAAAACTTTTCTAACAATTATTCAATCATGACGATCATGAATATTATATTGATTGTAACAAATTCAATCTAACAGACAAAATTTGAATTACAGAACTCATATAGGTACCTAACTACAAAAATTGCTCAAAATGCTGCCCTTGATGGTCACAGCAAAGCATATACCTTTTTTCCAGATTGATTATTGATTTCGCTATTCCCGAGCGCTCCCTATTCAAACAATCATTTTCTTCGATTATCTTATTATATCGAAGTTCGTCAATATTCTCAGTTGGTTCACTATGAATTTTATTTTTCAAGTAGCCCAATAAAAAAGTATCTAGTGGCGTCAGATCTGGACTGTTTGGTGGCCATGAAATAGTTCCAAACCTCCCAATCCATTCATGGTATTGGGCATTCAGAAACTCTCTCACGTCCCTTGAATTGTGCGGAGGAGCCCCATCTTGCTGCCATATAATATTGCGAGGTAGGTCGGCTTGTCGTAAACAATTTCTTATTTCATTTGTTAGGAAATTGTAGTAAATTCTTCCATTCAGATTGCCATTGTATAGAATGGGGCCAATTATTTTTTGGTCAAAAAGACCACACCAGACGTGTACTGATTGCCTTCCCTGAACTTCAATTTGAGAAATTTTATTGGATTCTCTGACGCCCAGTGTCTACTATTCTGTCTGTTGAATATTCCCGCTGTTGTGAATGTAGCTTCGTCGGTCCACAATATATTTTTGAAAAAGTTAGGATCTTCTTCTAACCTACCAATCATATACCTACAATAATTTAACCTATTATGTATTTGAGCATCGCTCAATTTTTGCACTGACATGATTCTATATGCTTTGAATTTATTTTTTTTTCGAAGCCCTGTGTATAGTGCCACAGGAACAACCCAAAGTCCGCACAGCACTAGTCAAGGAACAGTTGGGATTTTCTTGAAAATATAATAAGATATTCAACTCACGCTCTTCGTTACCCTGGAACATTTTTTTCTTAGTGGTTAGGTTTCCAGTGGATTCAAGTTTACTGTTCAATTTTTGAAAAGTTCTTCTATTAGGTAAAGCTCGTTCAGTGTATAATCGGGCATATTCTCTCCGAGCTAGAATGTTCAATCAGAAATTATATATTTACCTGATGAATTTTGTAATTGTTTACCCTCTGAAGCGTTTTTGTTATTTTTTATGTATAAAGACATTATATCATATCTTTCTGCGATTGTAAACATTTCGACAAATTACGACACACAAAATAACTAAACAGTTTCCGAACGTATTTTGTGACGGTAACATGAGGACACGACATGTCAAATAGTTTCGGTTTCAAAGCTTGCTTGATTTATTTTGATGCCATCACACACAAATTTTGGTTCTGGACCACAAAAATTGTAATTAACGAAAAACAGTAAGAGATAACATACTGTATATTCATATATTTGTGATTGCAAAAGATCACAGATCTCGAAAAAAATATAAAAAACAGGGTGTTCCATTTAAAAAAATTGATTTGTGGTTTGCACCCTCTTAAGAATCACCCTGTATAACCTCTGATGAATGCCTTAGAGAGGTCTCATTGCGGCATTGAATTTCCGCATATTATTTTTTTTTCTAAGTGAAAGTATAAGTAACATATGGGGGTGGGCCTTCTCGATGGATAACCCTGTACATGAGATATTTCAAATAGTTTCCATTAGATCTGAATATTTAGTATGAATTTATATACTTGCAGACTTTGGTGACAGACTGAACATAAATATGATAGCAAAAAAAGTTACATACTGTCTGAAGGTTAATCGAGGAGGTGGTACATTCAAAAGACAAACATCAAGGAATCTGCTTGCGTTCTTCTGAACGGAGACAATAGCATTGATTCCTCTTCAGTTAATATAGATATAACAGGGTATTCTCTACTGAAAACTGAACATGACAAAAGTAGATTGATCAATAAATGAAATCATCCTGTAATTCATTTGTATAGTAACATCAGCCATTCATATTCCAACATCAGTATGCCACTGAGAAGTGTCAATCTATACGAGAACAACTTTCAAAGAAGAATATTTTCAAATTTGCATGTTGAGAACGGGAGCAGATTCGTTCCCGAAACGTCCAAAGATAAGTAAAAATTCGTTATTTTTTCAATATATCAATATTTCTTTTCTTCAAAAATTTTCCAAAGTATCACTGACTATCTATCTCTTGGACTATCCCTTGGACTTTTCTCTTAAACTCCCTGATAGATTTTTTTTTAAAAAACAGTGACATTTTGGGGCAAATCAATAAGTTCATGTCCTATCTCCAAAATCATACCCCATAAAAAAAATTTGAGTACGCCAATGGGTTCTGCTCAAAATTACCTGTCAGACATGGTTATCATCTTTTTTAACAACCTCATAAATATAGAAGGGGTCCAAGAAGAATGAATGTTCAAAATCGCCCTGAATCTCTCAACCGGAAACTGTTATGCAAAATCTAATTAGGCTATATTGAATTTCACAAAAAAGTTAGACAGGAACGTGAAATAGCAAGGCTCTATCTTCAATAACAACCGAGAAACCTGGCAGTGTCAACCAAAATGGGATGAACTGTACAGGGTGGGCCAATTTGGCACTTTTAAAGGGAAAGTCCTATTCCCGTACAAGGTGTTTTTTAGAAATGTGAATTTTAGAAAAGTGGCTAAAACCCTTTTTTTGTCAAAAATTCTTCGTTTTCATGAAAACATTGTGTTTGTCATGAAAATTGATCCTCAGGCACTGAAATCAGTCACCGTATGCCTAGTTGCAGAATAGAACTTTTCTTTCAAGAACAAGTTTGAACTAGATATAGGAAGGCCGATTTCAGTGCCTCGATAACAGTTTTGATTACAGACTCAATGCTTTGCAGTTATTTCCATGGGAACAGACAATTCTTGCAAAAAAAATTTGTAGTGAATCGACCGTCAGGCACCGACATCAGTTTTCTTCCATCTGGTTCGAGGACTATCTCTTTCAAATTTTTCAATTCGGTCCACCCTGTACAGTCACAACATTTTTTCCAGGTGATTTTATTTGAGCAAAATGAACAAACTAAAAATTGAAAGTATTTTCCAGTGTCACCCTTTCTGCAAGAATTTTGTCCACTTGTGTAACAGGATCATGGTACACCCCCCGTATCTCCGTTAGTTTCAGAGGTAATTGATTGAAATTTGGCATATTCCATATACATAATAAGAGGCACTTTTTGACCTACAAATGATTTCCTTTTCAATTCCTGTTTCGCCGGAAGTGATACCAACTTTCAATTTCCAAATGGAACACCCAGTATATTATTACATTTCTGAAATCTGTTTAATTTTCTGAATCCAATGATACCACATTAGTGACATTTCAAACGTAAAAATGTTCAATATTTTAAATTTTTAGTTCTCCATCAAAGTGTGCAATGATGGTTCCGATTTATTCCAATTGACCCGTCCAATGCTAGAAAAATTGAAATCCTTTCAAAAATACTAAATTGCGTTTTTTATGAGCAAATAAAGTTCATCGTAATCGATTTTGGAGTAATATTCAATTTTTTCAAATGGAACCATATTGGTACCGTGGTACCATTTATTGGTACTATTAATGAGCAATTTATCCATACCTACTAATAAAATGTGCGATAAATACAATCAAAATCACAGCTAAAAGAAAATAAGAAGATACAATTATTTTGGTCTAATTTAATGCTAAGAAGTTATTGGGGTGGCTTTGAATTACAAAAAAAAAATCAATATATTACAACAATTGTTCGAAATGCTGTCCATTAACGTCAATGCACTTCTGAACTTGCATAGCTGTTTCTTGAAGAACGTTCGCTAATTGCTGGGCCGTTATACTACTCGCAACTCCAGGTCTTCGCGAGTTGTAACGGCGGTTGCATAGACAATCTTTTTCAAATGGCCCCAAACAAAGGAATCAAGAGGTGTCAAATTAGGTGACCTTGGAGGCCATCGCACAGGATCATTCGTCGAAATAACGTTTTCTCCGAATGCCTGTTGAAGGTAATCAATTACTATTCTTGAATTATGGGGAGGAGCTCCATCTTGTTGGAAATACATTCTCTATCGTAAATGGACAGTTAACTTGGGCAAAAAAAGTTTACACATGAGGCGATTTCGAAATTCAATAAATTACCAGATGATATCAAAAACAGCCCAAATATTATGCAATTCAAAAATAAAGTTAAGAAATATATTTATATGCAAAGGAATGATCAAAGCTGAAAGACCATGAATTTCCTTTTTTCTTTTTTTTTTTTTTTTTTCACTCTTTTTATTTTTCCCCTTCTCGTTCACTATAATATGACTGTATCTTAATGATATGTAAGTTTTGTTCACTATTTGTAATTTCAATTATACAACAGTCGATAATACTTCATGAATGATCTTATACCAGGAATTACTGTCTGATCATTCATGTCATTCCTACTAGAAAATTAATTATACTTTATATATTATTTGTATGAAATGTATCAATGAAGAAAAGAATGTAATGCAATAACTGAAATAAATAAATAAATAAATAAATAAATAAATAAATAAATAAATAAATAACCTGTCCTCAATGTCATTTTGCAGAAATTCTAAGTATCTAGCTCTAGTCAAAGGTCTTTCAAATATTATTGGACCAATGATTCTACGACCGAGTATTCCAAACCAAAAATTGAAACCGAACCGCACTTGAAAGTTACCCTTCTGCAATAAATTTTGATTATTTTGTGACCAATACCTTGTATTTCGTCGGTTGAACAATCCCATATTTGTAAAGTTAGACTCGTCCGAAAATAAAATCCTTCCCAAAGAATCATTGTTTGTCTGCACATTATTCTGCAAGATCCTATTGCAATATTCCATCCTACGTTCATGATCATTTTCGTACAGGTGCTGGTGCAATTGATATTTGAAAGATTTATAATTATGTTTGTGCAAGATTCGGCTTACCGTTTGGTGACTAATTTCCAATTCAAACCCAATTTGCCTCAAAGAAACGGTCTTATCAACTTCTATTCTAGCTAAAACATTAATTTCCGTTCCTACGTCAATGATAAAGTTTTCTTCGGGATCATGGTTAGGCTCTCTTCGGAATTGATTTTCAAGACGAATAAAATAATTTCTCCTGGACATTGTCTATCAGGATATCGGTCGGCATAAAGGTTTCTAGCCGCAACGGCATTTTTTCTACATTCCCAATAAATAATTAACATGTTCACTTTTTCATCTCTTGTATAAATGTGCGGCATTTTGAACGTGAATAACAACAAATGTAAAGACTTCTCCAATACACAATGACATCACCGATAAACCAACATTTATTTGACAATCTGAAGGAATAATTTCATTGTTTTCAGAGCCACCTTAGTAATTTCTTAGCATTAAATTAGAACAAAATGATTGTATTTTCCTATTTTCTTCTAGCTGTGATTTTGATTGTATTGATCGCACATTTTATTAGCAGGTATGGATAAATTGCTTATTAATAGTACTAATGAATGGTACCACGGTACCAATATGGTTCCATTTGAAAAAAATTGAGTTTTACCCGAAAATCGATTACGATGAACTTTATTTGCTCATAAGAAACGCAATTTAGTATTTTTGAGAGGATTTCGATTTTTCTAGCATTAGACGGGTCAATTGGAATAAATCGGAACCATCATGGCACACTCATCATGGCACACTTAAATGGAAAACTAAAAATAAGAATATTAAAAATTTTTACGTTTGAAATGTCACTTATGTGGTATCATTGAATTCAGAAAATTATGCAGATTTCAGAAATGTAATAATATACTGGGTGTTCCATTTAAAAATCGAAAGTTCGTATAACTTCCGTCGAAACCGGAAGTGGTAAAAAAATCATTTGTAGGTCAAAAAGTGCCTCTTATTATGTATATGGGATATCTCAAATTCCAATCAATTACCTCTGAAACTAACGGAGATACGGGGGGTGTACCATGATCCTGTTACACCCGGTATATTTTACTCACCAAACAGACTCCAGTGTTGACGTCACACTCAGTAGCATGTCCGTGACAATCGCAGGGAACACAAAAACCTCCATGTGGTCCGGATTGGATCCTGTAGTAACCTGGAGCGCATTCTTCACATGATAAACCTTGGTAGTTAGGAGGACACAAACACTGCTCTACTGATAAAGATAGAGGAGCATGTTCATAATTATTCTGCGGATCTGGCTCATACGCTTCATCCAAGATAACGTTGAATAACCTGAAATGAAATAGTGAATTTTGAATACAAATTATGTATGTAATTGATAATTATGTATGTAATCAATAAACGCAATCCCAGTAGCACATAATCTTATTGGCTGGTTATTGGCCTCATATTGGCCCAATATTTTCGAATTGGGCCAATATGGAGTCAATATCCTGCCAAGATTCGGGCTACTGGGGAAGTAGTGGATAACTATTACATTAGTGTAATTACTTCCTATTGAAAGGAGATTGAGAATCTCTCGATATGACCTATTTTGTGAAAAATAGCGAAGCATCTTGACAGATTCATTTGACTTTACATTTTCGTTTCAACCATTTTTGTAGTAATGAAAATGGTCATATATTGTCGACTTCCAACGGCGAGTTCATGAACAACTTTAGTCCTAACTCATGAATATCCTGTGATAATAGTTCCTTTACTCACTTTTGGTACAGCAAACAAACGGATTTCCGGATTTATCCGTGATCCGCACACACTGTTGCAACGCCAGTGCTTGATGAAAATACAGTATACTTACTGTCACGCGCTTTCTCGCGTTCTTTCATCGTATAATTTCAATAATCATTTGAAAAATTTACCACTGAGGAGAAAACGGTTTGCGATTGTACTCTTTAGGGTGAGAACTTCAAACAGATAAGTACGGAAGGATAATTCTTACTACCTGTTGTCCTATCACCCGTTTTCCCGTAGGAATGGAGCATTTTCTGCAGTGAGAAGTAGCATAATGTTCATCAGGAATAATGTCGGCTTCTAATGGTAAAAGAATTTTTCAAATCGGTCCAGTAGTTTCGGAGCCGTTTCAATAAAAACAAACAATCAAATCTTTCCTGTTTATAATAGTAGTATAGATAATATGCAGAAAACATGAGTAGGTATCATTGGTCCCGTCTGTGAATCGATATAATGAAACATTCTTTGGATCTGAATGATTTCGGTGTGAATTCGCTTCAATCGCTAGAATTCCGACACGTCGCAAATAGTTCAAATGTCGCATTAACCTACCAAAAAAACGCGATATTTTGCTACAAGACCGCTAAGATGGCAACACTGCTTTTTCAACAATTTGGTTACGAGAATAAACCCATTGACGACCGCTTGTTTTTAAGAATCCTCCAGAAATATTTAAAATGATCACCTCGTTGTCTCACTAACTGTCCAGTAGGTAGCTCTCAGGTAAACGCCTCTCAAATCCCTCAAAACCTCCATGATATGCTCCCTTTTCGCCGGAGTCCCAGACGGTAACACGAAATTGCTTTCGACCAATTGCAGAGAGAACAAAAACTCGGTGTCAGGCGGTGGCTGTTCGTAGTTGAAGTATTCCAAATGAATGTTAGCTCCATGGAGAATAACATCTGGTCCACTAACCGCGCTACCCTGTTTTCCTGTAATCGAAACGTACGTTGGTTTTACGAATGTGAACCTCTTTTTTCAATTCAAATTTTCAATCGGTTTGAAATATACCGCCCTTTTCTCTTCACGATAAGTGAACGAAATTTGTGATTATAATGCTATTTCTATAATAAACCAAAGCAAACATGAGATAGCTGATGATTCAATGGCCCATTGACTTAACACGTGGCATACTGCTTGTACTATTAGTCAGTGATGAAAGAGTATATTATTATGTACTTGTTCATTATCACTTATATCATATTATACGAATGTTGCTCATTGTGCTGTAACAACATTACTACTGCTATTCTGCCCGTGCGATTTCGATATATTTCTATAAAATGACATTATATAGTATGTAACATTCCTATGGATCCAATTTTCTCACTGTAATTGTTGAATTACTTATGTAGGATGTTATGAGAAATCTTCATATATGTTTGGATCCATCGTTCTACAAGGAGCTGGAAGGAATAAGAAATGAAAACTGTTACTCATTAATAATAGTATCAGTCGATTTTAAGAATAAGGTCCATAAAAAAGTACAATTAGTCAATGATACAAATGATATAGATAATTACCATTCTGAAATATCTATTTTCTTTTGAATCTATCAAAACCAACCCTGAAATGTGAGGTTAATGAGTAGCTATGAGGTTAGTCAGTGATTGGCAGAATACCATTCTCTGTTGAATAAACAGAATCTGTGAGTATGTCTGTTACAGAGTCTGTATCCTACATACCTTACATAAATATTTAAGTTACATAGATGGTCGGCAGAATAGCAGCATACATTTTGTATAAATTTATATGAATCAAAATTACATAATTTTCACAGTATATTTTCGAATAATTTTTCATTTTTCAAGTTTACTGGATTAGTACTGGTTGAACAATGATTCAACGAAATATACATTGAAGAAGTCATCACTGAAGTCACAATAAAGCATTAACCATATCAAATGCATTTCACCAACATAATTTTTTCAACAATCTACAATTGATGTGAAATTCTTCCATTTTCTATGTTTTTTTATCCTTTGCACATGTGTCATCATTTTTTGTCATTGTAAGATGTGAACTGAACAAATGAATAGATAGAATATTGATAAGAATATAATTCAATCTAATTAATCTGAAATAACGAACTAAGTAGTAAACGCTGAAATCCCTCTTCGAGAACATGAAAGGTCAATGAAGTTTTAGTCCTGAGCAATATACCTCTACCACAACATGAGTCTTAATTGTTTCCACCCAACTATTGTTGGCAATATACAGTTGTGAAGGTACAAAAAATTATGATAGCTCCATGTGGAGTGTCACAAATTACTGTAAGTAGACATTTGGTATCAACTTCCTACCTATCGGTCGAATTTTGAAACACCCTCTATATAACTAAAAAATTGAAGTAGCCTCTATCACTGAATACTTAAAAACAATATGTTTGCCACGCTTGACCGTCAAACTATTCAAAAACGGTTTGTTAGCATATATGCTCTCTCTTTCTATTCCATACCACGCTCAAACTTGGAAACGAACGATTGATAGTGATATGTGATGAATTTCAAGTTTGAAAACAAATTATAATTTATATCCTATAAGAAAGAGTTATTTAGTATACAATACCCAAACATCATTTCTTCATTTTGAAATGGCTAATCTGTGTTAATTATAATAATGTGATCTAGAGATTGTCGGGTCACAAAGGGATCTTACCAATGATATAGTAGATGGTGTAGTTGAGAAAGCCACCGTAGGAGGTCAGTTTTGGGCCGAGATAGTCGGTCGGTGCGGAAAAGTATGCCGAAGTTGTATTGATATATGAAAAATCGACCCCTATTACATTATCATTGTCGTCCATATTTTGCAGGGAAGTATTTAAACTGATCACATTGAGTTCTTCGTCAACTATCACTGTTACAAGTTCCCAGTCTCTCATTATGTTAAGGGAAACCTTAATTAGTTGGGAGCTGGTGCATCTAGTGGTTTTTCCAAAACAGAAACACTCTGTGCAACCTTCTTCGTTAGCAGCCTGAAATTAAAACAGTATATGAAAAATTTGGTAATTCAAGAAGAATGTTCTAGTTATATGTTTGTATATCTCCAGGAAAGTGATATGTTCAGAAAGACAAATCGATTAACTTTTCACTCAGTACTAAATGGTATATCTATGATCTTGAAATAATTCTCCCAAAAAGACTTTCGAAACAACAAAAAAATATTATTTGTCTTTAGTTGATACCCCAAACTGATATTTACCTGTAGGTTGAAAGATCCTTCTCTACAAAAATCACACCGGGGCCCAACGACGTTTTTCTTACAGAAACATTCGGCAGATTGTTGATCGCAAATATCGAGGGTAGTACCGCTAATGTCGCACTCGCAAGATTCACAGTATGGAAAGGAGTAATGTCCAGCTTTGCATTTGTCGCATGGGCGGCCTACGATGTTTTCCTTGCATCTGAAACGAAGAAAAAATCGTCCAAATCTGTATCTTCAAGTCAGGTTCCTTAGTTATTCAAAGTAACGAGATATGAAGGTCACATACGTCATTTTTGTAGACGTCTCCAAAGATAAGGCTAGAACACAGCAAACATTGAGTTCTTCAAGAATTGAGAAGATAGTTTGGTAACATATCTGACAAGAATGGCTTTTGTAATTGTGATCGAATAACTGCAATGTTTTCACTACAGATATATCTATGAGTATATCCACAGTTTGTCAATTCTGCAGTATGTCAGGCCAATTTCTAACCACAATCCCTTTAAGTTCACACTGTTAACATCAATAAAGAACCCCCCTGTGGTAAATATTTTCATCAAGTAGGTACCTTCCGGAAATTGGTTTCCTCTTTTTCATTTATTTTACATGTTATGTTTGTTTGGAATCAGAATATAATTTGATAAAAACGTATGTATGACTTGATATCTGTTCCTCAAGCGATATTTGCTTCAAGAATGGTATCTTATATTTTTTCTTATCGCCCATAGTGCTCTCGACCTGGGTCATACTGATACATCAATATATTTTCAACCTCAAATCGCTAGTATTTGCTATATTCATTGATTATTCAAAAACATATTAACCTATTGGTAGTATTGGTAACTTTAAAATCTTAGTTGCGTTTGTTTGGCATCAAACTTTCACTAGTTCAACCATTTCTGTAGTAGATATAGCTTAATTACATACTAATTATCATTCTATAGTCTATTCCAACTAGGGCAGCATTGGAAACCATAAGACACCATAAGGAAGGTTGAAGTTTTCTTTATGGGAAGATGATTACATCAAATTAATTTTTTTTTGTCGTATTTTCTTTCGTGCCATACATATACTATCTCCTTATTTGGAATGTCGTATAAGTGCTACTTGTCATTCCTTTTGAAAAATTGCCACACATATGAGCAATGTTATTTTTATTATGTAGTTGATTCCAAAATAACAGAATTTGTTCCATACAAGTGTTCCACACGTTTGTTTTGTTGCCCAAATATTCTGCGACCGGTTTGACATCAATCAAATGAAACTCAGATTTTGAACCTTGTGGCCTTGTCTATCATCATAATCACATAATTTTCATTAAATTATATTGGCGGCGAGAAGAAGAGTGAAAACTTTCCATAAAACAGGATACTAGCAAGTTCAAAAAATCCACGGCACACATGCAGCCGGTGAAAAGTTCCTAAATGTACTCGACACTGGTGTTTTGACGTTTTTTTGTATAAATTATCGACCCTGGTCTAATATTACTAACGAAAATACGTTAGATCGGTTACATCATACTTACTGGCACTCCCCGCTCAACAGATCGCACTGTGACGACCCCGCCACCCCCAAATAGTTGCACTTGCAGTCCTCGCACCCTATGATCGGATCATATCCGTACGTGAACTCCTCGCACTGGTCGCAATTCGGGCCGGTCACGTGCGGCGGGCAGATGCAGGTGCCCCTGTCAGGGTCGCAGTAGGCCGTCGACGGGCAGTCGCACGGCTGGCAATCCGGGAAGCCGTAGTAGCCGGTCTTGCACGCCTGGCACATAGATGTATATAGAGACACTGGATGGTATTAGTTAGAGTCCCTGTATATACCTCAGACAAGAGTCCGGACACAGCTATACTTCTGTCCTTTTCTGTTTTCAAAATATGCTTTGATGATTGAATAAAGGAATAAGACATATAACAGGGTGACATAGAAAAAAGTACATTGCATAGTGCCACACAATAGAGGACACTAAAATAAGAAAAAAGTTCCTATGATCATGGGTCCGCAAGGGCTTCGGTTAAAAGATACGGGGTGTTGAATTTTAATTTTTTTTTTCGTTTTTTTTTAATATCTTCAGCCAGAGACGCAAGAAATGGTTAGAATGTGGTACACAGGGGTTTTTTATCATGACATTATCTTTAAAGGATCATTCGGAAAATTGAATAACTTGAATCCCTTTTATAATGAATTATCGCAATAATGTACGCAGCAGGACATATTGAAATAATTTGAAATGCAAAATTTTGGCGGTCATAAAATTTCAAAGGGACAGTGACAAAAATTTCGAAATAATTTAAAAAAAGCGGCTATGGTGTTTCGTCACATTGTCAGGTGGGCAAACCAAATGAAACAAAATATTAAAAACTCCAACGGCTGTCAGTTTTGTGTCCGGACTCTTTTCTAAGGTATATACAGGGACTCTAGTATCAGTTAGGGTCCCTTGATGCAAACTGACGTATTTGTCATCTAACAGAGTACGGACAGATCATAGCTCCTTTCTCTTTCAATCATCTAGTGACTTTGGTTTCGTGTATTGGCGTCCCTGACATGACATTGCTGTCACGTCACATTCATAGGCGTTAAAAGAGATCTTACAAAATGTTAATTTCATTCTTGATCTTATTACGACATTATTCAATTCTGTTTTGGAAGGATGGTGAAATGTGCTGCGTTAGGCTGTATCAATCAGATGGATGGCAAGTTTGAATTTTTCAGCTTTCCATCAAATGCAAATGAGCTTAGAACATGGAAAGTGAAGTGACCGAATGGGGAAAATTGGTAAATATATCAGCAAAATATTCGAGGTAAAACTAATACGAAATCACATATTATACTTTATCATTGTGCCTGAAATTATCCACTCCACAATGAATGCATTTTAGTATCAACAGTTTTGATTGAAACGGAGGATTATAAGAAGAGGCATAATGCTCTACCATATAAAAAAGTATTCCTACATTCTGGAAATATTGAGTGTTAGTGAAAAACTGCAAGAATTTGGCACATTAGTTTGAATACCAACATCAAATTTTTCACCATTTCTCTACCATAAAGCTTAGTCTGAAATTAAAATTCATTTATTTATAGGTACTGCCCAAGAACAGTCCTATTTGGTAAAACGTATTGAACTTTCAGAAAAATTTGCTCTCTGCCTCACAAAGATTATGCTGGAGCTGAAAAATCAAAAACTCGAAAACTATCATCATCATTTGGATATAATATGTAGTTGAATGAGAAATTACATGTGGAAATTACGTATGATACGCCAATGTCCTCAATATAACCTAAAAAACAACAAATGTCAGAAATCTAGTGTTTATCCCCAGAAATGAATAAAGATGGAACTATATAACTAACTATAATTTAGAGTGGAGAAATTGGAATATTTCTTCAACCTTCCAACAGAATTTCAAATTAGAATGATCAATCTCAAAAACGAGCTATCAGCATCATAGTTATTTTCTATATACTAATAATTTTATGATCGTTAATTATTGTACTATTCTAATATTTCTGTTTCGTCAATAATTCCCATTTCATCAGGTATTCGACATTTAATATTAAGAAATAATCCTATTTCCATCCATACTATTTGTTGAATATATCATTGCAGGTACCATTTCTTACTATGATGTTATAGCGAAATGTCCCGTTTCATTAGATTTACCACTAAATCTTATAACGCGTGAAACGGCTCGCATTTTTGGCTGTGCGTACATGGCTTTTCTAAGTAGTACGTCATGCAAATGGTGAAGGAGCTGAAACCATATCTTATTCATTTATTAATTTATTTATTTATTTGTCAAACAGGTTTACACCTAATTACATGAGAAAACTATACTACATACAAACTTGATATTAAATCAGACCTAGATATCAGCTGATGTTTCCAATAATTTTTCATTCTAAATTCATACTTTCTTCATACTTGGTACATAATCGATAAACTGTTGTTTGGTTGACATAACAAGATTTATTCAACATTGTCAAAATATTATTCAAGTAACTTAAAGAATTGTGGGGGAAGGACGAGCAATATTGATTTCTGACAGAAGGAGAACATTATTCGTTATCTTCAACATGGAGATTACAGGGGAGCAGTTGTTCGTTGTTACCAGAGGGATCTCAAAAATCTGGTTAAGCCTTGTGAGTCTGATGGGAACTCTTCTTCTCAACAAAGAATGCAAATACGGAGTGTGGTATAATTTGTTGTACAGTTTATAACACATTATAACACTATTGCTAATTCTTCGAGAATCGAGACTGCCTATTGTGAATTCTTTTCAGAGCATCTCACTTCGAATTACATTAAAATCAGGGTAAACTTCATGTTTTTTCAGGTAGAGGAAACTCAGGAATTTGTTTTGTATTTTTTCTAGAGTATGCTTGTACAGAAATTGATGAGGGTGCCATATAACTGAGCACCCTCATCAATTTCTGTACAAGCATACTCTAGAAAAAATACAAAACAAATTGAATACAAATTTCTGAGGTTCCTCTATCTCTCCTCTTTATATTCACGATATTTTTCTGAACAAAAATCTGTTCAAAATTTGCTCATTACAAACATCTATTCTATCCTATTAGTGGATAGCTGCGTCTATGTGTTAAATCGCCTAATTCTCCAGAATAAAAATTAAAAAATAAAATAAAAGCTCACCTGGCACTGGCGGCCGATGATGTTCGCCTTGCACTGGCACTGGCCGCCGAACTTTTCGCACTCGAAGCTGAGCGAGCCGTAGAAATCGCACTGGCACGGCTGGGCGCCCGAGTTGTGGGCGGCCGTGATGGAGAACGCGGAATCTCGGCAGAAACCTGTACATGGACGATTAATGGATCAGAGACGAAAAGAGTAAGGGTACGGATATGCCGAAGATACATGGATGTGGTAGCTATAACATTTGTCTTATGCGACCGCACATACCAGGGATGTTTAAATATATAAGCGAATCTCGAAGGATGTTTCACCCGCTCACCCCCGCTGCCTGTATTGTGGTTCACGGCGATGTCGATGCCAGAACAAAATAGTTTGTCTAACATTGTTACAGTACTTAACCTGATGAAGCTACTGTGTTAGCGAAACATGTCGTGTGATTGAGAATTTTGTGGAAATCTTATCGTTTGTGAAGTTTCTACATTTGCCATGGATTTCCATCAAGTAACAGCAGAGTCAATTCAAAATTTCCAACTCATTTTACAAATAAAGGAATCTTAAATATTGTCTGTAGGTTAATAGGTGGTACAGGGTGATTGTTCTTGTTCTAAGAAGTGTTCTAAAATTGTTCTTATCCATCATTCAGTTGCCCCCTTACGAGCAACCCTCAGAAGTCTTCAAGAGACTTGTACGAGCAAGGAATGACGAGGGTCTTTCCTTTTAACGTGTGATCCCAAACACTTTCTTAGGCCATCAGAAAAATTTCTGCGGTCGTGGTGGGAATCGAACCCACCAACCGGCAACCCAACGTGGATATAACATTGACGCCTTGACCACGAGGCTAACCTGGCCACTTATTGCTCTTATATTTTACTCAATAGCTATCTCAGTTAATATTAGTTTTAAAAAAACGTTCAAATAGGCAAATATGGAGTATTTTTTATGAGCATTCAGAATTCAGTAGTAGTAAATGCGAAAAAGCATCGTGAACCTGAAAATTTTACATAAGCTGGTATTTTTTAAACGAAACACCGTATTTCATTTTCCTTATCGGTAGAGCTCTATCTTCTGATTTCAAATATACTTTTAAGTTATCTTTGTCAGTTTGCGAACAATCAAGATTTTTTTCGGCAGCTGTAGAACCCCAGAAATCGCAGAATTGTCGTCTGGCGTTCTATAGCTGTCTTAGATTTCATACGAAAAAAACTATATTTTTCGAAAACTGACAAAGATAACGAAGATAACGTTCATAAGTATATTTGAAATCAGGAGAAAGACCTCTATCGATTAGGAAAATACGATTGGCAGTGTCACTGACAAACGATTGTGTTTTTCTTTTGGACTCTGATATTTAACATTTGTTGAGGCAGCGAAATTTTGGGGCAATCATCTAATTTATCTTCACTACACGTGTATTGAAATAATAATCATATTTTCTTTTTATAGAAGCGAGGAGAATATACCAAAAAATCTGAAAAAATGTGTTCTGCTACCCTTATCTTTATTTAATCTACCATACTTCAAAAATGTCCTACAAAACTAGTTGAATGTATCTTCTGGTTTATACTGCAGACGTTACAGTACAGATTTGGAAAAATGATGTTCAGAGCCTCCTCATTGTATCTGCTGAGTTACTCTTGGGCACTTGCCAAAATTATGCTCTATAATAATCAGTTCAGTCATATTATATTAAAACTAACCTTTTTTTAAAATAAGATTCTTTATGCTTACCTTCAACACTGGTGTCAATATTGAAATGGTTACCAGCACACATCGACAAAAATTCAGAAGTTCTGTCAAGATCAATTTCTTCCAGGTTTTTCTCGTTATAGAAATCTGTTGGTACAACCAGAAGGTAATCAAGATAGACATTTTTGTTGCCTGGTTGCTGAAAAATTAAGAAAAAACATTAGTTCACAAATATAATTAATAATAACAGAAATGCACCTTCAGATTCATCATGAAATTTTCAGTAAGTGAGAACTTGTTGTTTCCATCGATCTGGGTGATGACAGCCCTGCATCCAGACTCAGAAGGACAGTATTCAACTGGAACTCTGGCTTCATAGAATTGACCATTTTGGATAATCACATCCAAATTGAATACTGAAAAAAAATTACTTGTAATAACCATGGTCCAATGATTGTGATTTTCCCGTGAACAAACGCAATTTCAAGTGTAAAAACTTCACAAACGACAAGATTTCCACAAAATTCTCAAACACACGACATGTTTCGCTAACACAGTAGCTTCGTCAGGTGACATACTGGTGATATACTGACGAAGCTTTTGTGTTAGCGGAACATGTCTTGTGTTTGAGAATTTTGTGTAAATCTTATCGTTTGTGAAGTTTTTACATTTTCCATGGATTTCCATCAAGTAACGGCCGAGTCAAATAAGAAAAAAAACATTGGAAAAAATTGGATAACCTACCTGGGAATTGTGGCTGATAATAGTGAAGAATGAATGAATAGTATCCAGGAACAGATACTTTTCCTTTCAAATCTATCGTTGCATCGTTCGGGTTCAACCACATGTAAGAAGTTTCATTATTGACCTTGACAGGAGGTCGATTCTTTCCTAATTCTCCCTCCATTTCCAGCTCGAATTGAATTTTCTTGCTTTCCGGTGGATCTCGGAACAATGATGGATGGCATTTTCCATTTTTTCGGATACAAACCGGTCTGGGTTTGATGAAATCCAGTGACCACTCCTCGTATGGTATAGCGTACACAGAATGGATACCAACGTTAGATTGAACGCCCTGTCAAATGTGAAATCAAAATTCCAGAAGCAAAGTAACACATGACATGGATTAACTCGTACTAAACTGGGCGTCAATTGAAACGTTAATAGTGAAATTTGGCATCAAGTTTGACTTCTCGTAATTTCTAAAATTTTGAACGAATTTTGAATTGCCGCCCAGATTCTGAATGCCTTTTTCATCGTCTTTCGAACCGTTCCTTACAGCTTCTTCTAAATTGATCAGGACCCGTGATACAGGGTGAAACAAAGTTTCGTGCATTTTGAAAAGAATTTCTCCGCCCCCCCCCCTTTTGTCGGAAGACCACGATGTTCATATTTTATTCAGGCATTCCATGAATAGCAACCATACCTCGGGACGTTTTCGAGTTTTTGCCAAAAACTACTGTGGTTTCCGAAAAAAATTTTTTTTTGCATTTTTTTAAATGGACTGGTTACCTGTATCCTCAAAACGATGAATCAGTCTATTTATTGTCATGACTGACTCATTGAAAATGGTACTTAAATGAGTTTGGGTATATAATAATCGTCATAACCTGAAATATCGATTATCTGTACTGAATTATAATTTATATCACTATAGTGATCTTACCTAATGATATTTTCCATTTCGACCCGATTTGAACAAGGCATCTTTAAATTTTTTAGGACCTGAATTACACTGACGTTTTCATGAAAATTGGCAATTGATATAACCTCTATGCATACCTACATTGTTTCAACAATACCTTGTTATAGAAACAAGGTATCGTTGTTTGTTTTTGTTGATGAGATGTGTTGATTTACTGCTCACTAAGGTAGAAAACTTCTATCATAGACTGCGAAGTAATAAATCATTGATTGTTTTTGAGTAACCTGGTATACATATATGCTCCAACGCTTTCCTGAAATGCATAAAAGCATCCATTTATGGAACTCCTCTAAAATTAGTCCATTTAAAAAAAATACAAAAACATTATTTTTTTAGGTGTGAAACCACAGTAGTTTTTGGCAAAAACTCGAAAATGTCCCGAGGTATGGTTGCTATTTATAAAATGCCCGAATAAAATATGAGCATCGTGGTCTTCCGACAAAATGGGGGTTCGAGGAATTTTTTTTCAAAATGCACGAAACTTTGTTTCACCCTGTATCATGGGTCCTGTTCAATTTAGAAGAAGCTGTAAGGAACGGTTCGAAATACGATGAAAAAGGCATTCAGAATCTGGGCGGCATTCAAAATTCGTTCAATATTTTAGAAATTACGAAAAGTCAAACTTGAAGCCAAATTTCACTGTTAACGTTTCAATTGACGCCCAGTTTATATACACAAATACATTATACATTTTGTATTTCCACACTAACCTGTAGAGTGACAACTATGAAATTTTCACTGGTAGAGTAAACCGCAACAGCCATCCTTCCGTCAATAACCACTTGGCGACACATAGTTGAATAAGGGCAAGAATACAATATGAGATTGCCATTTCCGAATCCTTTAGAGATCACTGTGACATTAGCGCTGCGAGTGTCATCCAATGGTGTGATGTAGTCAACCACAATGACATAGCGACCAGGTTTGTGTACGCTAATATTTAAGGTTATTTCCGGTTGACTTGAACTCAATAGAGGAACTCTGCCGTTCAGGTTGAGTTTGTTCAAGTGCTATAAAATATGAAGTGTTTATCACAATTTCATCTAACTTTGTTATAAGAAGCCGTAAACTTACAGTTGTGTCCTCAAACCAGGTATCGAGACGTTTATTATTGGGACCAAATCCACCCAAACCCAGAGATCTGTCATAATATGACACGTTCGGGTAGGCATAATGACGACACAGGTCCATTTCGTTTAGAGTGCAAGCTCTTTCTACCTTCTGATTCAAAATCGTTGCCATGAAGAAATCTTCAGGAAGCAGAACGAAGTAATCCTGAAAAATAAAGATATCTTGAACTGAAATATCTCTTGTCCCATGATGAATAGTGTTCCTGATAGACATGGAAAATATATGATCAGATCACTATTCAATTGTTCTAAATCAGAATTGATTGAGATTCTCTGACGACATGCCATGATTATCAAATTTTAAAGAATATTTGTAGATCATGCCATTACAAGAATGCTCACACCATATTCCTTCTATCTTTTGTATGCATAGTACTGACAATACTGACAAACAACGACTTAGACCGCTAATGCCTTAAGAATGAAGCTATGAAGCTCACAACGAGGCCGAACTGGAGAACATGAAACATGCACATTTAGGATATCATATATCTTTCTTACTCTTACTCATGTTTCTGGGGTGCGTTCAAATATGTACTCTGTGGAGTAGAGTTTCCTCATTTGCTTTCGAAATTTGTTCGATTGTGTATATTTTACTCTGTGACTGTCGTTCGTAAATACTGGAGTTTTTGACGTCGAGTTAACTCTTGTAACTCCACAAAATTGCTGGGTAAATTTTACTCCACAGATTTGACAAAGTTATTAGAGGGCGAACAAGGATTAAGAAGTTTGTTTTGTTTGTTTTTATATCTTCAAAGCATTCAACTTGGTAAGTACTTCTTAACATTGTTTATTGTTTATTGAGAAACTAGCTCTCAGTCAGAAATAGAATTCTGGTATGAGGAAGTTGATTACAAACAACAATAATAAAATAATATAAGGTGAAAAGAACGACAACAAAAAATACTAAAAAAAATCTAAAAATGCAAAATGGATCAAGTCATAAAGAGAGCTACAGGGACTAATCAGTAGATGGCAAAGTATCAATTTTATCCATTTCGTAATAAAATCATGTGTTTTCTCAATTCAATTTTACATTTTGAAAAGTGTGGAATTTTTTATATCATGTGGTAATTTATTGAATTCAGCTAGAGCATCGTGAGTACATTTTTTTTGGCCAATTATAGAGGTAGCAGAATCAAGATGAAATAAGTTTAATTGTCTCGTGTGATGACCATGAATTTCTGAGTTTCATATCAAAACAAAATTGGATTTCAGATTATTGTTTATGATATTACATGAAACATCATGAAATCTTTAGAAAGTGAGACTCTAAGGTTCTATCTATCTCTTCTTTATAAATTGAATCTGAACTGACTGACGAGTGGAGACTGAACTAAACTTGTCAACTTACAAACATGTTCATGTCAATCTCAGATGCCAATGAACTAACTCAAAATTCCGTTCGAATACCACAAGGAATAGTAATTAACTCAGAGTAAACTGATAAAACCTTCAACTGAGTTTACTCTACTCTGAGAGTTAATAGTCGAACGCACCCCACCACACACCAAGAAACATAACTTGACGTCATAAACGAGTCTGGAAGTCCCTGCGCATTGAACAGAAGCGTTTTCAGGCGAGCAACCAATTTTAGTGGTGCTGCGATATGACATAGCGATCTAGAAAAATATTACTATAATATTCTTCGAAAGTTTCGCGTTCAAATCTGATGAATATTGTACATGTTCTTAGTGAGATAATATATAAAATCTGAACAATAAACTCCTTAATAATTATCATGAGATATGGCAAAACTGGCTATGGATGCAACGAATGAATTATGAATGTGTTGGAGGTTCAAGATGTTATCAATAGGTTTTGCGGCATAAGGTTATCCTTCTACATAGTGGGTTTATGAGAAAACGCAGTAAAATGGAATGGGATTCAAAGATAATTTGAATGAAAAATAAATTTGTCTATCCACACACAAACTAATAATATGACATCAAAAGTTTGATGAGTAAAGTGTAGTAATTATCGAATCCTTAATAGTGTCTTACCAGAAAAACGCTTTGGTTGACATTTATGCTGACAGACCATTTTCCAGGATTCATGACGAACGGCTTCGGCACATTCCCAGTTTCCCCAGACACCGTCACGAAGTCAGGTTGCGACGTGTTTCTGAACTGCACCTTCACATACTGCTCGATATCGTTGGGATTCTCCGGAATGATCCTGATACCCCCGATCACGGTATTGGGGTTGGTGTTGACGAATCTGAACACTATGCGGTATAGGGATGGCTTGGTGATGTAGATGGTTTGGATGACTTCTCTTTGTAAGAATGGCGAGAACACGGCGTAGCCCTTCCAGGAATAGTTGGGGAAGACGAATTCGTCGTGGGCGTATCTGACTCTGCTGTTGGTCGGCGTTGTACCTTCCTCAACTTCGTACTGGTATTGGTAGAGAGTAGGGAAATAGTGGGCTTGTAGGGGTTCTTTGCACGTGCGGCCTGTGACGCGCGATTGACAGGCGCATTGGCCGGTCTTTTTGTTGCAAATGTTGCTGAAGGATCCTCCAACATCACATCCACAATCTGGAAGAGTCAGTTTATATTATAATCAGTCGCTGGATGGAAAAAATACTTGGCCACTATCCGACCGCTGAGTTTTCTCCACTTTAGAAATGTAAGTAGTAACTTCACTGTGGTGGTCAGTTGTTGCGAGGTCTACTGGTTTTGCCAAAAAAAACTACCGTTTTCATAGTGTAAATTAGTGTTTTACTGCAGAGCCTCAATATCTACCGCTGAAATTTTCATTCACACATTTGAATTAAATTATAACTGAATGGAAATGTTTCATTCGATTTCAATTTGATTCAATTCAATTATCAAAATAATAATATTTTTAGCGAAGAAGTTCAAATCACCCCGTAAATGAATAGAACGTCTAAGGAATACCTTATGACAAGCTCGCGATTAATCGGTTTCGTAATCATCATGCGGTTGAAGCGGACTTATTCATTAGTATCATAGTATCAGAACGAGTTAGTCGTTGTATTTCATAAACGGTCATCATTGTACGAACTATTCTGATTGGATGTTAAAGTGTGGAAAATGTGTATATTTACGATTCCTCGATTCAGCATCTAACAATATAATATAATGTTTGGGAATGTTTTGGATGGCATCGATCGGTGAATACCTAAAATTCGTGGCTACCACAAAGAGTTATCTTTTTTGGAGCTTCATGATATTAAATGAGTTCATGCAATAATTATTATTGAATTTACATTTTTAATTCTGTTGATTACCCACCTATCTAATTACGTAAATAGTAAACTACTAGTATATGGCACAAACTGCAATTTTCAAACTGCATCTACCGTTTATTTTCTGGATCTAATGCATTTTTATGTTTACCTCTTATCTCATACTTGACACCTGGATATACTGGCAAAACGTACGATAGCCGACCGAAACAGTATCTTTAGATATGCTTTCATTCACATGCCCTATATGTAACGATTGGGCAAACAATCTGTATATGTATGAAGAAAATCCATTTCAAGGTCATCTCCACTATGTAGAGTCATCTCCACGACATTTGATAACATGCTATGGGTTATTTAAGGGGTAGAAGTTTCGTATTTATGAGAAGATCAGTAGAAGAGTTAAAGTGTCCCACAACGATAAATAAAAACTAATAAATTTTAAATCAGTGAATAAATTACAATCAAGAAAAAGTTATACTAACATAAAGTTGAAAATGCAAAAAATTGTAAATACCAAAAGTATTCAAAAAAACACTGGTTTTTAATTTTAAATAAGGCCCTGTATTCTTTGGTATATTTCTCAGGAAATTTTTAATTGTAAATATCAAAAGTATAGCTGGATATATTATTGATGCTTTTATTTGAATTTGAGTAGAACCTGGAAATTCATTGGTGCTGTGATGAGATTCTACTGTATGCACATTATTGAAATGCAAGCCAAGTGTAAAGATATGAACTGCTTATTTTCCTTATATTTTCTGGCATGACTAATCTAGAGATCCAATTTTCAATTATTGGTGCCACTGCCTCGTCATCTCTTCTCACCCTCAAGGAATCATTAAAGCGTAACAAATAAAGTTTTATGAACGATATGTTGCGTCTCCATGGGATGATCGTGTTGAAATATGTAATGCAATATTTGCTCGATTTCAATGAGTATATTGTGTTATTATGTTACATCACTTTATGTATGAAACAATTTTGTTTTAGTTGTCATAATAAAAATTTGATTACGTCATTGTATTTCCTTCAATCAAACAGAATATATTAGTTTTTACCTCCATTGCCTAAATTCTAAGAGATTGAAGGTTATACTACGAGTCCTTCAAATATTATCGATATTTTTTTTATTTCCTAGTTTGGCAAATATATGACGGACTAGTGATTTTATCTAATTCGGTCTGTTTGAATGATTTTGCCTCAAATGAAAAAGTTTGAGTGGAGAAAATGAAAAATTATCGGATAAACCTTCAAATCATCGAAGACGCGACATCGGGCAAACCATTTAAAAACACTCAAAACCACCCATACTCACCCGTACAGCCGAAGAGATCGTCCGCCCTTAGGCCCCACGTGCCGTCCGCGCATTCGCTGCACCCGCGCGCCACCGCGCTCGGTTTGCACGCGCACTGCCCATCCTCGGCGTCGCACACCCCGATGCCGCCCAGCACGCCCGGCCCGTGGCACCTGCAACATTCGAATTGGGTAATCGCTCAAGGTTGGCGCCGCCCCTTGAGGGAATTTAGCCTACACGACAGATTAGACACGATATTTTGATATAAAATGCTACTTTGGTGATCGAGATCTGATTTTTCTAACGAGGCGTAGCCGAGTTAACCCATTAACTACCGATGGTGCGTTCACGCACCGCTATTTTGTTATTTTTTTCCGTTTACAACTTACAGTGTTCTCATACCTGCTGTTGAAAAAAAAAATGTAACGTTATATCAGAGAAAAAAAATCAGATATTAGTGTACTTCGAAGTAGGGTGAAAATTTTGCCAGGCAAGGGTCTGCGACGTTGCTTATGGGACCGGAACCTGTGTTCGGTATTCCCAAAACCTCAATACGCGGCTGGCTGGCAAGGTGGATGCAAGAAAGACATCAGGCATACTGGAACAATGTCCCAGGACAAAGACACAGTAAACTGATGGTTGGAACACTGTCCAAAACAGTGACTAACGACATTCTGAGCCTAAACAGAAGTCAGATCAAACAAGTGACGGGACTGATAACCGGTCACTGCCCCTTGAGGAAACATATGCATCAAATGGGCATCTATACAGACGAACCCATATGCAGACTATGCAATGAGGAGGAGGAAACTGCCACCCATGTAATATTGGAGTGCGAAGCACTAGCGTGTTGGAGATACAACCTTCTGGGAGCAGTAAACTCTCAAGAGGCATTTTCAAAGAATGATTTGGTGAAGAGGCTGCTAAACCTCATCAAGGTAGCGAACCTGTTCACCTAAGTCAACAGCATGATCAGGAATACAATAGGCCCAAAGGCTGCAGTGTTTTGGGCTTCGAACCCTGACTGATCATTCTGCTATTAATCAATCAATCAATCAGGGTGAAAATTACTTTGGCTATATAGATTTCGTTACCACTGACAAATTGTGACTTTGGAAAAATACTTCCTATCCCAGTTTCCACCAATGTGTAGTCTTTCAGTGACTCAATATGATATATCACACATCAATTTGTTATAATGAAAAATTAGAGGATTTCAGCAGTAATAAAAACATAGGTTCGTTCGCGCACCACTGGTATCCTGCGTGAGCTCCTACAATATTTCGACAAGCTCAGACAAGATTTTCTAAGCTGTGAGCCTAGCTCAGAATAATTCATAACCAACTCGTTAGTGGTGCGGGATAGTTGTTCGCTTATTGTAGTGACTGAAAATGTCTTTCAGAAAGTTTTTGACCCAAAAAGAACTACAATCAGCTTTAGAGGAAGCAATTGATGAACTAGAATTGGACATGAAGGTAGTTATGAATATTTGCTGTATAATTTCCAATATTTATAGATATTCTTTATTCATAATGTCATAATCGATTTCTTTTTCAGATGTGATTGACGCAGTTTATTTACCACCAGATGGTGATACGCTCCCAGAAAGTGAACCGACTGATATAGCTGGAACTTTCGAACTACAAGTACAGTGGGGCTCAAATTAAAAGTAACGACTTCTGTGAAAATCCCTATAAAATTTCAGTTTATGCACCCAGACTAATATCTATTCCAACCGCCCGCTGTTTCAATCACTTATTTCTTATGGTGAGTTGTGGTACGAGATAGTCAGATATCTGAATATTTCTAAGATTTGGGGTTAATATTCACATCGCTAGAGTAATATTTTATGCTTCATCTTATGAAGCTGACTCATGGTTATTCATTGTTTGATTCTAGTTGATTCTATGGATTGATAGATATAGTTGAAGTACTTCTTGAATAAAGCGGCATCGGTATAATTGATTTTTTTTTAATTGAAGTTTGTCGTTAGTATATCCTCCAATTATTTTTCCCATGAAATCATATTTCTTAATCGTTCTAAAGAGTTATTTTTCTCTGAATACCTATTTTTGATATAAGAACTAATAATTCTCATCAGCATGTGCGATATGAAAACGGTATACACATAATTATCTTGAAACGCGAATATCTACCTACTTCCAGAAATTTTATTTTTAAAGTATAATACTTGAGCTTCGATAAATCGTGCAGATAAATTTGAAAAAGAGGGTTATTGATCGATTTGATAAAGTTCAGTGTCTCCCATGTCCGTTAATCACAAAAATATTACTTTGCTTCAGAACAGTGTTGTGTCATCAATTTGATATCTCAAAGGACCTAGGAGATACTGAACCGAACCGAATAAGTAGACAATATTTCATGATGCATGATTCTATACCTAGAAAATAATGACGGATTCTCATTCAAGATCACTCGGAACATACCTGTACTAATTTTCATCATCATAAAATACAGGGTGTCCGAATTTTTTTTTTAATTTTTTTTTGGTTGATGAAAAAATTGCCTACCCACCCTTTTTGTTTTCTCAGACACATTGTATATTTGAATGATAATAATCGGGGCTGATATGTTCGAAGTAGTCCTAAATATCCATTTGACATTAGTTCTTCCCAAACATACCACAGTACTACATTTTCTGATCAAGTATACAAAAAATATATCTATTTAATCCGATTTTTCGGACACTCTTTGTTTTATGACGATGAAAATCGGTACAGGGTTACATTGAGTGATCTAGGTTCAGAATCTATCATTAGTTTTAGTGAAAAAATAAAATCCCCAATAGTAATTTACGAAATATGGGTCAATAAAATTGGTCGCAGTTGATGGCCACGATAACAGTCCAAGAATAAAATCACTTTTTTTGTTTGATGGATATTTCAAATACCTATACAACAAAAAAAAGTTTTTCGAAATCGATCAGATAAGATAATACGGATTTTACAGGCGGTGGTAAAGTTCTTAAAGTGGACACACTGTATATATAGCACGTGGTCACAGAACATAACATGCAATGCACTGTTAAATACCAGAATGTTTGATGTGTATTTTTGACTTTTTTTCAATATAAATAAATAAAATTAAATCCTTCATGATCAAAAAATAATACCTTTTATAATTATAGCCGAGTAAAATAACTATAGAAGTTTTCCACTTATCGATATTTCTTTGTGCTTATATATTCAACAGTATAAAATGTTATTTTGGTTTTGAAATCTATGATCTGCATGCTGATAATAATCACACTGTAGATATCCTTGTTTATGAAATTCATATTTCCACTCGAAAGAGTATTTTATGTGAACCAGTTCTCCTTTGTAAGAAATCAAGAGTTTCAGTGTTTCAGTTTGAAAGAAAATCATCTTCAAAACTATTCTCAAAAATCGTTATTACTCTGAAACAGTTGAAAATAGTAATGAATTACCTTATATATTTTATGGTTTATATCAGAGTAATATTTTTGTAGAATTTGTATATCGCTACTTCAAAGTTGGGAACCAACTCCCCAGAAGTCGAAACTTGTGCGGGGTTAGGAAGAGCGGGACCTACAGCTTATAGTGGAATCCGAACCACTTCTAGGGCATCGAGGTGCTGCCAGGATTACAACCATGAATCACACATTTTAAAGAAAAATGCTCAGCCGATAGCCGGACTCGAACCGACAGTACCTCTGCATCGTGAACGGCTATCTAGCGAATTTCAGCGCATAGACAAACTCGGCCACGGAGCCCATGTAGAATGAATAATGAAAAAAAAAAGTGGTGTTCTATTGGAAATAAGGGAATTCTATTTTCTTTCCGTATTCGTAAGTGCGCTATGCCAGATTCATCCTCGGATTTACCCAAAAATTTTCAGAGTTTTATTCAACTCAGCATAATATTGAAAATGAATGGGTTACCTGAATGAACGTGAAATCATAAAATTCAGTACTATATCTTTATTGTTTCATTACAATTTTATCGATCTTTTTCTCCTGGTTATACAAAGTGTAATTCAATTGATGGTTAGAAATATAGGATGTAGACATTTTGAGAAAAGTTCATATGAACATAATATATGCCCTGAACCTCTTAACTTTAAAGCGATAGGGTGTTGAAATTTTAAGAAAAAAAATGTCTTATAGTAACTATGATACTGTTCTAGATATTCTCATAAAATTTGACATGCACCTACTAAGCACTGATGGCCAGTTCGTGTCCGTATGGGATGTAAATACTGGAGATTTTTCTAAAAAATAAATGCAATTCTCATTCCTTTTGCAATAATTTGAGTTACATATTTGGAAATGATGAAACCATTTTGGCAAATTCAATCAACGACTTCACTTCAATAAAAATTAGACAAAAACACATCTTATACCTACAAACTACACCACATTGTTTCAGTTGGTGCATGTCAAATTTCATGAGAATATCTAGAATAGTATGTCGAAGTTATCATAAGAAAATGCTTATTTTCATAAAAATTCCAACACCCTATAGCTCGGAAGTTGAGAGGTTTAGGGCATATGTTCATATCAACTGTTCTTCTCAAAATGAGCTGAGAAACCATGTCCTATATTTATAGCCATAAATTGAATTACACCCTGTATAGTTTGAAATTAAATCCCTTCATTCCAAGATTGGATTCTTGTTATAATTAATTATATTATATCGTTCTCAACAAAACTGAATCAAAGTGAAGCAGTCCAGATAAATTCCTATTTATTTCATTGTAGTTGCCAAAGAAGAACTCTGTCATTGTTATTTTTCACGTTCGAATAATTATTATTATAACACCTCTAGGTATACTGCTGGGTATACCCTCTAATACCTTTACAGCGCGAACCAGGTCATAAAATGCTAATGAGGGAAACGGTTCGTTCCTAGGCAATGAATAGTACATGTGCATAGACAAAAATATTTCAATTCGACCAAGAGTCGTTACTTTTAATTTGAGCACCACTGTACCTAATTTCCATAACGTTGATGTGATGCAAGATGAACAAGATTAGTGGAGTTCATCAGATGAAGAGGATTTGGCATCTAAAAGAAAACGCTTAACTCCTGGATCATCACTACAGATTCCTGGGTCATCACGACAGATTTTACTTTCTAAGCCAAAATGGGTAACCGGAGAAATCGATTATACTCATCCCGCAATATCCAAGGAATCTGCTTATAAAGAATGTATACAGAATGAGCTTTCTGGTAAGACACCACTCGAGATTTTTCATCTTTTTCTGGACGATGAAATACTCCAAATGGTAATGGACTTTTCACTGAAATATGCACAAGATAACAACCGATTAGATTTCCGTCTCTAAAAGGATGATCTTTTGAATTTCATAGGTGTATTGCTATTTTCTGGATATCACTCATTACCACAAATTCCTATGTATTGGTCAACTGATGAGGATAAAGGCGTCGATATCATAAAAACATGCATGAGTAGAAATAGATTCCAGAGTATAAAACAGAACTTGCATTTATCAGATAACAATGAATTAGATGTCAATGATAAATTCGCTAAAGTCAGACCATTTTTAGAGGCAATCAATAGAAAGAATTTACAGTGGGGTGTTTTTGCAATTTCAATAGTTAAGTTTTAATAAATTTTAAACAATGTACTTAGTTTTCTCGAAAAATTGAATTTTCCAGTGTTGAGCACATAAGAATGTTCTTTATGTGCTTTAAACTTTTGTAAAAACTTTCTGACAACTCCATTCAGATTTTCTAATCTTCACTCACTTTCAGAAATTACTCCTGATGATAGCTTGTAGCCGAAAACGTTTGAGAATTTGCTTGTAATAAAGACTGTGTACTGTAGCCTTCGTTTGTTGATATTCTGAATATAATTTTTGTAGACACAAATTTGCTATTCGCGAAAATCACGAACCAATAGATGGCTCTATTATATGTCAAATCAACGTCAAATTTCCAACTGAGTATGAACAACAAAAACATTGCCGTATGCACTCATTGCAAATTGATTATTTCCAAATCATTTTGCAAAATAGTGAATAATAAGTTGACTTCTTGAAATACGTACAAGGTGTCCAGTATGGAAAAAATTACTTTTTGTGTAGAGAAATTGCCATTTTGATGTGGACAATGGTGGTATTCATCATTGATATCACACTACAATCCCACAGTTTTCAATCATATGGAATGGTCGGAATGGTCCACTCAACACTTGCATGGATTGGAATGGAACCATAAGGAATCAACTATCACAACAATATGTTATAGATATGAAGAAATAATTGAATTCATCAGGAAATATCACTGGCTTTTATGAAGGAGATGGAATTCTAGTGAAGGGGTTGGGAAAGAAGATATGGTTGGAGAGGCTGCTCAGAATGAACAATATCATCGATTTACATAAACAAGGATCACCAGCAATTGAGGACTTGAAGTTATTCTCAAGATCGAATCATTGCAACCAACATTAATACAATGATTCTAATTGTGCTTGAGAAAATGTATATTATATTATTATAAGGTAGGTGCTGGTTTCTTCATTGTAAACAATAAAAGTTCATGCAATAATTCGAGTTTTTTCATAAGGGAGAAATGAGGTTCTGGAATATGCACTTCAACAAATAAATTATTTTCAAATAAAACACATATTTAAGAAATTCAAAACAATGATCGCCATATTTGTTGTTCATACTCGCAAGACTTGTACAGTTAGCCACCAGAGGCCACACACTTCGTGATTTTCATTGCCGAAAAAGTTCGAGCTAGTGCTACGAGTGGAAACCGAAATTAGATTGACAGTTAGACAAGTTTTCCCAAAGTTTTCATGTCATCGCAACGTCAGATGATGACCTTGACTACCGCAAATAATTAATATTCTTATAACAATAATAACAATGTCGTACCTGCACTCCTCGCACCCCTCTGGATTGTCGGCGTTGAGGTTCCAGAAGAGCGGGCGGCACTTGTCGCAGATGCGGCCCTCGACGCGTTCCTTGCACTGACACAACTCGCCGGCGGGGGCGCTGCCGCAGCCCGCGAAGCCCTCGGCTACGCCCGCCGGGTGGCAGTTGCAGTCTAAGAACAGAAGAAGAAATGAGCATGCCAGGGTTGGGATAAATCATGAAGGTCATAAAAGTCCGAATTTTGAATCAATTCGGCTTTTTTTGAATCAATTCACTTTAAAAAAATTCAATTTCATTCACATACTTGAATAAAATTCAAAAATGTAACAAAAAAATGACTTTTGATTTTTTTCGAAAATCCAAAAGCATAAAATAACAGAATAGACAATTTTTGCTAAACAAACTGGAACTATTGATGGAAAAAATAAATGAATGCATGTATGCAACTTATAACTTATTCGTAAACTTCATTAGAGCTACTTCAAAGATCGCAATTTTCATTGGGCGCTAACGCACTAGTGTCATTTTATACAGCATTTTTTTTCGTATAATTGCCAGGCATCAAAATTCTCATTGAAATGACAAGTTTATTTTGACAAAAAAGGTCTCTTTTGAATATAAGTGATCAAATGATGGATTTTCAATATTTCATACATTATTTTCAATTTTTTTTTCATTTATTTATTTATTTAGCAAAAGCTCATATACAAGTCAATGTCATATAAAAACAGTCATAAGATCTAAACGAACAAGGAACATCTAGACACTTAATTCACAAACTTAAGATCAACACAAAAGGTACAATAAAAATACAGGACATTTTAAGAACGATTTGAAATCTTCGAAAGTTTGAGTTGGTTCGTTTCAATAAATGCATTTTCAACTTGGCCTTGAATGTACTGATGGAAAATGCATTCTTCGCGTCAGATGGCAAGTCATTATATTGTTTCAATCCTTAAAAAAAACGGAATTTTCTGCCAATCTTTTACTCCTCGCGGTAAAATAAAAAAGTGTTCTTCCTGTCTGGTGTAATGGTGATGCATTTCTTCATTATAAGTCAGCTTATTCACCAAGTAATTTGGTGCTTCACCTCTTTGTATTTTAAAAACAAATACCAATACCGAAAATTCAAAAGAATCCTCAGTAGGCAGCCAATTTATAGTAATTCAGCCAACTAGTGTATTAATCGCCTTTTAATATACAAGTTGGTTACAAAATTTTTCTGTCGACTATATTTCTCATTTTTCCTGCAATGAAGAAAATTTGGTTCGCGAATTAATCATTCATCCAAGAACTGCTAAGAATCACCCAGTAGCCTTGTTACTGACATTAGTGACATTTGACATTTGTCGAAATGATCAACATGGAAAATAAATTCCTTGTGTTAGAAAACAGGGATTAAAATCGTTTCAGAAACTTGGAAAGGCGAACCCGTTAACGGAAATTCTTCGATGAAATCCATATTTTCGATTTGAATGCAGATTCCGTAAGTCATAGCATAAACAATGAATGCACGCGGTGTATGTTTGGTTGCCTATAAAACAATCGTGCATTAATAGACAAATCGTTCATTAATAGGGGTCATTAATGAACGATTTCATATACATTAAACTTAGTCGTTAATACGAGGTCGACGGAAATACTTTTTAACATATCCTTATGGGTGCATTGCTCTGTTTCGCAATTTTTGTATTTTATTCAAATCATTCTGATTCAGAAGATATAGGATTGTTGAACAAAAATTGAGGTGTGGAAGAATCAGGGTATTGTAAACAATTTTCTTTGTACATCAATAGATGCATATTGAATGTTACTGTTCTCATGGTTTCTTCTAACATAATAAAAAGTAAAACAGAAATATTTTTGACAAAAAGACAATTCCAGCAGTACATTCCGCTACACTTTTGAATAACCTGCATATTATTATTGTCGGAAATATGATCTGCAGCAATCAATTTGCGCTCAATGACAAATTTAAAACTGTAAAGCGGCTCTTAGAAAAGTTAGTTTTCCGCCTGTGGACGCTCAGATGTTTATGATGGTCAGGTTGCCATAATGCCATTGGATTTTTCACTTGAAACTAGTTCGAATTAGAGATAATAATGCGATTTGTTCCCATTGGAGAAAGTTTGAATTAATTCATGACTTAGGGCCTATTTATGCATCATTGTCTCAGTCTTAGTCTTAGTCACAGTCTTTGTTTTAATCATAAAATCAAGTTATGAGCATACATTTCAATAGGGGAATTCATGCAACATTTTTAGTCTTAGTCCTAATCACAATCATTATATAATGACCCTGAAAGTTACAAACTTTCAATTTTTATGCTTATGATTGAGACGACATAAGAAATGCGCATGTGTAGTTGATTTTGTGTTTGTCACCCAAAACTTATTGCCATTTTGCACTGTGTCAATAAATGATAACATCATTCTGATAATTTGATTACATTTGATAACAAATATCAAAAAATCATGAGACTGGAAGAAGAAACCCTAACAGATTTGGTGGAGAAATTTCCCCATCTTTGGGACAAGAAAGACTTGTAACAGTCTCAGGGGTTTGGTGGGTTTGCTGATAGAAACGCTGATGACTATTTATTTGCTTCTTTAGTTCACCAAAATCACGTGGTTGAGCGAAACGTCGAAAGCCTAAATATGAAATGCGCTATTGAGCCCTAGGACGTACAGTACATCACATAATATAAGAGGTGAAGCAATTATACAAATAAGTAAAGAAAAGTAGGTATAACTAACATGTGACCTGAAGGGGACGAATGAACAATTATAAAGTAGTATAAAAGAGTTTCACCCACCTAAATATGAAATGCAGGCACAGGCCAAGATCTTCCAAAGGAACATTGGGCACATATAAAACCAAAAACACCAAATTTGGGTTCGATCGACATGGATGTTTAATTCTTCACTTGGTTGAGAAAACTGCCAGTTCAAGAGTCAAATGACCAGCGCAAGACATTTCGGAAATCCTTTCCTAACCATAACCGACCTAGGTGCGCGCACGAATTTTGAATCTGTATTAGTGAAAGATGGGCTGCCTAGCCTCCTGAAGAATATTTGATTATATTTAAAAGAGAGCATGGGCGGCGACATTGATTTGTTACAGACTCAATATACAAAGATAAAATTGCAATAGAGAATTCCTGGAAATCAATGTCACAAATCATGGCATTGACTGGTGAATAGATTATATTTTATCTCTGGTGTGTAGAATTTGTTTTTGTACCTATCTACCGACGGATCTCTTGACATTGTCAATTGTCATATCATAATTCTTAAGCCTGAAGACTGTGATGCATAAAGGTCCAAATATGATAAGTTAATATTCTATTCACCTTGGTAAGACTATGATTAAGACAATGACTAAGACAATGATGCATAAATAGGCCCTGAAATCACTGATTCAATTCATATAAATTAAATCATGCCAGCGAGCATGACAGATTACTCTTATAATCCTTTTTTGAGATAGGACTATACCCTTTCAAAGTGACAGGAATGCCCCCAAAATATCAAGTCATACTGCATAGTTGACCGAACCGTCCAAAATAAAGTGATTCCAGGATGTTTCTCTATACAGTATCTCGCAGACAATTCATTACATAGCATGTACTACTCAGTTATGAACATACAGTGTTTATGTGTGCTGCCCATGGTAGCTTACTATCCAAAGTAACTCCTAAAATCTCGATAGTCTCACTAGAGTCTCGAGATCATACCCGTGTGTTCACCGAACACGCCCGATCGTTCCCTAAGCGGTGGGGAAACGTAAACGGGCAGCAGTAACTACGTTATGAATATTGGCGCGTGCCTGAACTATTTTGGAGTCAAATTTGTCAAATAATGTACTTCGAAACGGAACACTAGTAGTTGTGCCTTCTTGTTTTACATATATTATAGGTAGACATCAAATCAATAAACATAGTGCTCTCGCCATCGGTATTTGCTGAACTTGAACTTCGCTATGGGAAAAATGTTGAATAACTATATTGGGATGAAGAATGATCTATACAGGGTGTATCTAAATAACACCGAAATAATTCAAGGGATGATTCCTTGTGATAAAATATGATGAATAATAGTTATTTTTGTATCTAGAGCGCGAAATGCTACTTTGGTGAACGAGATCTGATTTTTTTAACGAGGCGTAGCCGAGTTAAAAAATAGTCGAGATGACCAAAGTATTTCGCGCTCGAGTTGCAAACAAAATTTTTTCTACAAACGTCAAAAAATATAGTTCTAAAGTAAAAATATGCTTAGCTTGATATAAAAAATAGTGTTGAACTGGCTTAAAAGGCCCCCCCTATCCTCCCTAGGTACGCACGATGTTCCACGAACATAATAGGAATTTCCTTTTGTGCGCTTCAAGAGATAAAACAAAGTTATTGTTGAACATTCAGAAATACATGATTTCTTGGATGTTTGCTCGATTGAGGATCATAAAGTTGAAATATAAATATCTCATATATATTACATAACAATGCGCGAAGTAGGTACTTCGCGCACTGTTTTACTTCGCGCATTGTTTTGTGCAAGGTATCATTGTAACGTAGGAAACTGAAAAAAAGTGTCACTTCGCAATTTGTTATCAATACGCGAACCTTGTCATTTTTTGACGTTTGTAGAAAAAGGTCATATAAACATGTGTCCTAAACTTGCTTCGTTTTCGAGGTACAGGGTTACGTCCTGATTTCGAATCCGAAGTGATTTTCAACCTATCTTGCCTCCTAATATCATTTTCCGGAAATGTTGGTGGGTCCATGACCAGAGCAGTGTTTTTCACTGAAGATTACATCACTTTGGTCATAGTTGGTATATATATATCTATCGCTCCTTAAAATTGAACAGTTATGTTAGATATACGGGTTGATATTCCATTATAGAAGTGACATGCACACTGTTTATATTTTTAAATACATCCAGTGGGATTGAATTTTATTTTATGTTGAATATTAGAGTGTGTTTTTTTATGTGATATATTTGTTTTGTTTATTTCAAATATATATATATATTTTTAGTAGGCATACTAGTACTTCTTTTATATAATTCTGAAATCTGATCCACCCTGTATTTGTTTCAATTAAATGGCATCAGTAGATAGTAAATAGGATAGGGATAGGGACACATGTAAGCCATTTTGACAAATCAATATAGGTATTGTATAGTTTCGATACAAAAAAAATCTCGATTTTTCACATTCTACGTATAGGATCAACGAAATCATAGCTCAATTAGAAGAATCGAAAAATGTAATAAAATATAAGGTGTTCCATTTTGAATAACAAATAGCTGCTACTATACTACTATAACTACTACATAACTACTAATAATAATTTCTAGTGAAGCAGATGAACATTATCGAAAATAATTTGAATAAAACGAGCGTCCTCGCCAACAAAACATACGCATATAATATGTACATATAGTTTCATGATTTTCGATGAGTGGTTCGCTATTTACATGTAGGACTGTGACATAGAGAATTATTGCAAATCAAATCATCGCTTTCATTATCTGATAGGTCGCAGTAGATCACTTGATGCCTATAAAATGTTTCTTATTTATTCGAAAAAAAAAAAAATTTTGAAATGTGATCAAGAAAACTGTTGGTGGCCCACCCCGTACTACAAAAACAAAGACAGCATGAGAGAAGCTGCCTGCCCACTGTCTCGGTCTCCCCACCGCTTAGGTAACGATCGAGCGTGTTCGGTGAACACACGGGTATGATCTCGAGACTCTTGTGATAGTCTCCACTGATTGTATAGATTTTCCAGATATGTTGAGGAATGAGTCATAATTTAGATTTATGTTTTTTGGCAGGTAAGATAAGGTGGGTCAGAATGCAATGAACTCAAAGACCTAGGAGGCCAATATAAGTTTGCATGCGTACATTGTCAGCATTATCCTGGATCCTGGCAGCAGGATACACTTTATATTTTCTTCCAAATTCATTATCGATGATTAACAATTATGCATTATCATATTTCCGAGTATGATTCCATGACAGATGAAACAATCTGTGATTTATTATAGAAGATTTGATTTCCAAAAATTTCACCTGACAACTCCCAATTTGTCTGACGTAGTCTTCAGTCCGAGCCGGAGTCCTATTTACTAGCTGTTTGGTGAGTGATTCAAACTATTAGGAGCTCCAATTAGGAGATTCAATGAAAAGTTTATTGTGATGGTCGTTTCATGGGAATTTTCATCACAAAAGCATCGGGATGAGCATATACATATTCGACACATCTATTCTCGGAATGAATCACAAAATGAATATATTGAGAACTATTGTTAAAATATATAGACAAATTCGTTTTTGAATTTTTCCAAACTCTGAAACTGAGAATCTATATACAACGCCCTTCTAATTTGGAACCCGTCGACCGATTTACAAAAACAAAGATTCCATAATATAGTACTCAACAAGCTCTATTCGAGAATGTGAACAAATTTAAAATATTCAGATTCTCAAAGCCTACTTTCGTTTGCTGAAGGGGTCAAAATTTCAAAAACGACTATCAGGCAATTTTTTTTCGAAACTGTGACTAGCCTACTCGATTCAGGCATAACTAAAATACCCCCATACGAAATTTGAACGCAAAATCTCATATAGGGTGTTAGTTATTCAGTGGCAAATTTTGATATTTTTGATTTTTTGATTCACCCTGTGTCAAAATCTAAGGAGTTGATATAACCGGTGAAGTAGTCATTCAATAGAGGAACACATCGGATACTAAGATACTGGAAATATAAATAATGGTTCTCTATACATAACAATTTCTAATGTCATCTCAAATTTTCCTTCCATTCCGCCGAAATCGGTATATTATTATGATCACTTTGAGTATCAGTAAATCTCCTTGCAGTCTTAGGAGAGTGTTTGTCTGTCATTCTATTTGTGTTATATTCGACAATTCCTTATCAATCGAGACGATTTCCAAAGTTACTGTGTGATAACTGTGATGAAATGTGTGAAAAAAGGTTTACTTGAGTTTTCAAAATGGTGAACCTAAACTTTAATTTTATTGATTGTTGGTTGACCTAGAGAGATGTTCCTGTAGAAGTTACAACGATGAAACTTCGTCTTCCAGTATTCGATGTGTTCCTCCATTCAATGACTACTTCAGCAATTTCTCAGATCTTGATACGGGGTGAATCGAAAAATCAAAAATATCAAAAGTTGCCATCGAGTAACCAACACCCTACATGACATCACTGTTTCGACAAAAAATGGCCTAATAGTCGTTTTTGAAATTTTGACACATTCAACAATCAAAAGTAGGCATTGAAAATCTGAATATTTCAGATTTGTCCACACTTTCGAATAGATCTCATTGGGTACTATATCATGAATTTTTTTTTTTTAAATCGGTCGACGGGTTACAAATTAGGAGGGTGTTGCGGGTTGAAATCGCAAACACTGTATATATACAATTGATAAATCAGGGCCAGGGTGCAATATGTTATTCAGATGAATTCGTCAGCTGAGTATGGGATTTTTCCTAAGAAGTAACTCTCTAGGCGGCTCTGATATCCATCCAGCCTTTTGGATTTGTCGTTAGATGCGGAAGGAGACTGCATGTAGATAGCTTCATCATAGAAAGTGACCAATGCCCGTTAACCTTCAGTATTTGTTTATACGAATCGATGCATATATTTTGGGAGGATGTAATTCAATGTTTTGCGTTGCATGAGTCAGCAAAGTAGTTGTTTTTCTCTCGTCATCTACCAATTGTTATACATTTTTTGTACATTTGTGGAAATGGCTTTAGGCTTATTCTTCTCATTATTAAATTATTGTTGATCAGCAAATCATATTTTTCTTATTGAGATATTACAACTGAAGTAACATACCTTCACATACAGGGAAATTATAGTAGCCCTCCCTACAAGTGTCACAATGTTGTCCAGCAAAGTTTTTGTGACATTCACATTTGCCGAGTTGGTCGCAGGATATCCCGTTGGAACCGTGATAGTCACATTCACAAGCTAAAATAAAAAAGAAAAGCCATAATTATATCAAATCAACTACATAAATGCTATTAAAAGAAATGAAATTGATGAAATTTTTAATTTATCCACGAAAAATATATTTCTAGATATATTAATTTTGTTATTTATTAATTCAAGTTGAACAGATATTCTTGTTGCTAGAGAAAATCAAGTGAACACCTCTACATCATTACAATTTTTTTTTCATGGGTGAGTGACCTTCGTATTTAAAACTTTTTATTCTCAATTCAACGATATACTATTTTGCATATCTGGAACGAAAAAAAAAGCGATGATATTTTGAATAACTCCAATGTTTTTTTTCCAGATATCGATTTCTATTATGAATGTTGAAACAAAATGTCTGCTAGTACCCACTACACTCACCATATTATGCAATCTATCCCATACCTCGTATAAAGAAAGCATAATTTACCGGCATAACAGGAACACAAGACTGCACAGTCACTAATATTTTCATAATTTCTAACATAACGCTCACAATACATATACATAGTTGAATTGAAAATATAGAAGATGAACGGAGAAAAACGTCAAGGTGTTTTTCTTGGTTATCCCACTCCACATCTAATTTTTATGTGATATGATATTGTTTGTTTCCACGGATATCGTCGAAAGAAATTTTGTTTCTGAATGGAAAATTACTCAGATAACCTCAACAAACCAGCAAGTGATAATGATTGAGTTGTTTGTTGCACTTACGTGCACAAGAAGAGTAGTTGAAATATCCAGGACTACATTGATCACATGTTCTTCCAGCATAGTTGAAGAGGCAAGAACACTTCCCGGAACTGCTGCACGTGGTTCCATGAGATCCGACTTTGCTGCATTCGCAGGGTTTGCAGTCAGGGTAGCCATAATACCCTAAGATACACACGTCGCATCTATCGCCCCCGTATCCGGGTTTGCAGATGCACTGGCCGTTTTCTTTGTTGCAAATTTCCGGTTCTGTACCACTCGTATCACAATTACAATCTGAAAAATATAAAAGTTCTGTCACTACTACTTATTGTCACATAGTTTCAAAATCCGTTTGTGACTCCCTCAAAATAAATTAGAGGAAATAATATGCAGAAAACTATACCCTATAACTAAAAACAACAACATGAACAAATATTCAAATATACTTACAGACACAATCATAGTTGGTATAGAAGTATCCATCCCTACATTGCTCACATTTAGCACCTGCATACTTGTTCCTACAAGTACAGTTTCCTGTGATTTGATCGCATGTTTCGGACACAGATCCTAAACTATCACACTTGCATCCTGAAATAAATATTGTATATTGTATTATTCCTCATATTCTAGAGATTATCAAAATATAAACTGAATCATTTATTTATCAATTATTTAATGAAATGTTTTTTGCTGTTCCCTGTAATAAATTATTTATATGCCAGGGTAGTGATGAATATTAGGAACCCATGGATCAAGATTATAACCAAGGCTTCAGCCAAGGGATATAAGGCCCCATGGTAATAACGTAATTATATTCTTTACTATCAAGGCGTATATGAAATTTAATTTACCACTAATCACTTGAATTTTATTATATCATAAAATTTGTACTGCAGAGCTCGAAACTGAGAACAAGCAATGTTTTTGAGTGCTCATCTTTCAACTTCTATCGAAAGTTATTGCATTGACACAATTGACAGCTGTCAGTACCATTATTAACCACGCTGTAAACGGCAGAGAACCGCTTCACATATCAAAAAGGATATGTGTTTCAAGTAAGTAGTAAATTTATTCATATATTGTTTCTTGTGGAAAAGGAAGTTCATTATCAATTGAATCCATCATCTGAATGGAATCTGTTTTAGAGTCCGACCACGTTAACTTTGGGACAGCATGTGACGCAACGCATATGCATATTCAATGCATACGCGACCACGTGCTGTCCCAAAGTTATCGTGGTCGGACTCTACTCACGGGTACATTCTGGGAAATTGAAGTATCCAGGAGCACATTCCTTGCAGAAAGTCCCACCGAAGTTCGGTAAACAGCTACAACCTCCGTCACGAGCAGAACACTGTAGTTCTGTTGTACCGTTCAGGAAGCATTCACAGGGTTTGCAGTCGGGATAGCCATAATAACCGAAGCTACATTTGTCACAATTCGGAGGGGTGAATTCTTTTCTGCATTCACAACGTCCAGAACCTTCTGCACAGTTGCCGGTGGAGTAAAATTTGTCACACTGACAGGCTGAAAAACATAATATGGATGATCATTCTGCTCTGGTATAATCCAGGATATACTCACGTTGACAAACGTCAGTTTCGTTCCAATGCTTGTTATATGGCCTGAAATATCTGGATTTGCACTTATTACAGTTTATTCCTTCAGTATTATGTTGACAATTTTGGCACACACCCCCACCATCGTATTTACCATGTATGTCGAGGGACAAATGTTGTCTATCGGTTTCTTCATCATATATACACTCGTTGCTGTGATCAAAACAGTTACAACCTGTAAGAGAGATTATATTGAGTACAATAAACTCGTCTATCATCTGTGTTGCCAGGTTGAAAGCCTATGCAATGGAAGAAAAAGAATAAGAGGTGACAGAGACTGAAACATTGCGAATAAGCGTTGCTAACGTTACTTTCAATCCACACATCTGAGATACTTTCATTCCACACATCTGAGATGCTTTCAATGATCTATGCCATCGTTGGCATCATTCTATAGTTCCATTTGATCGCCAGTTATGAACTATTATGTAACAAACTTCAACACGTAGGTCAGGTTGATTGAGAAGAGACATAGATGGTCTATCCTAGGAAAAACAACTCCTCGAATCCATTGTTCGATAAAAATACTTTTTGATAACTTCTGCAGTTTGATTCAGCATAGTAATTATCACTGACCAACATATCAAACAATCAATGAACATTGCACAGAAATATTCCGAAACCAATGGCTGGAAACGGTAAGTTGATATGTAAGATTTCTCTCAGGTTGTTATGTCAGTTTGACGAGTGTCTCATTCTACTCAGGGAAAAGCAGCGAAAAGATTGTCGTAATTCCAAATAATGAGGGAAAAGTGAGAAATAATTTGTGAAATTACATATAGGGGTTATGGTTGTCGAAACCAGTAAAGGACATTTATCCTAATGTCAAGCTGAAGGAACACTAAAATTGATTTTTATATAGTAGACGTATCAATTGTGGAACTTACTTTCACAAGAGAATGGAAGATAATGTTTAGACTGTCTCCATGCTTTCTGTTCGAATCCTGGGCAACACTGGTCACATTTAGCTCCACATGTATTGTGCTTACATCTACAGAGTAACACTCTGTTGTCTCTTGGATCAGGAATATCACAGGCATCAGCATGGCCATTGCACATGCATCTACCTCCAATACTGATTTCTTTGATTGAGTAGAAATACTGGAAGATATAATCATTATAACATCATGAACACAATATTTTTTCAAATTCAATTTGGTGACTACAATATATTTCATCAATATTTTACGTTCAATTAGCTCAGGTGAGATTTGATATTTCGATGTTTTTCAGCACAACAGGCGCAGGAAAATCAAACAAACCATAATCACATACTAGAATGTAATTAGGAAATGTTGGAACTTACTCTTCTAGTTACTGTCGGATCCTGTCGGGCCACTGACATAAGATGCCCTAGTAAATTTTTGGTTCTCAAAAACCTTAGCCTGACATTGGTGGCTCTAGTCCATTCTTGCAGAACAGTGGAATTAAAGTAATAATTAGCTGAAGGTCTTTTGTTGAGTAGAGAAATAGGTATCTGGAAAAGAAATGAAATTAAGTTAATCAGAATTATGAATATTTTACTATACAGTATGATGCAAATGTATGGAATAAATTCATTATTTCAGAAATGGGCGACATTTGGAAAAATTCCAAAAACACGTGAGTTTTAATTTCTGAAGCCTCATCTCATGATATTCATATGAGAGATGTTACGTCAGCGGTGTTGGAGTAAAGACGTAATGGACGATTTTTTCAAATACAAATAGGGGTCATGTGACACCTTGATTGAAAGGTCTACCGATCGTCTATTCAACAGTCAAAATGTTGCATAAGAAGATTGAAATTAAAATGGATTATCATGTGATTAATTGAATCTTGCAGAGGTCTGCTACTGAGAATTGAACATCGAAGGGTCGTCTAGTGAAAAAAATACGTCGAAAAAAAAGTTCTAAACTCTAGTTTTTTTTTTTTTTTTTTCGAAAGTCGTCTTGTTTTGAAATGAATTTATTCCATACATTTGCATCATACTGTATATTGTTTCCATAAAATTAATAAGGAACATCAGGGCGATCATTATAGGCACCTCATTTGAAGTGAATTCAAGCAGGTTTATACAAGATGTACGTGAAAAGGAGGTCAATACGATTTTCATTTTGTGTCCCCATGTTCGATACATAAACGTTCAAAAAGTTCAAAATTTAAAATATGTTTCAACAACCCCAGTGATTGATAAGATACCGATTTCAAATTCGATACAGAACTTTAAAGTGACAAATCACATCTTTTGAGATAAAAACCAATTGGCAAATTATAAAAAAAAATAGTTCAGGATCCATTGATTCCTCAGCATTATTTTTTTTATGACAAATTCGTTGTATCTCATAAAATTAAATAACTTGAGAAGTACTTATTGGTCTATAAGCGACGTATAACCAATCAAGGACCAGTACTTCTCTAATTATCTTCAAAATAGAAGGCGAAAAATAATCCAAAATGATTGATAGCTTTTAATGAAGTCAATACAGCCCATACTTATGGGACTAGACAATGGGCTTATATCACAAAAAAAATGTATTTCATAATTCGATAGAACTCACCCAGACTAGCTCACCACCGCAAACCGTTTCTTGCTATGAGCTCCCTACGTTTTATAAAAAATTATTGAAATCCCCGATTTTTCGGACCTCTGAAAACGAGGCGATTATGTGACGTCAAAACCCTAATACTGAAACAAGACTATTCCAGACAGAGCTGAATGATACATGATTTCTGATACAGTGAATTAGCGCGAGATCACAGTTGAAAGAATTAATATATCAGTTGCCTCAGTCTCCGTCGAGCGTTTGGTATTTTCTTTTAACTATGGCGAGATGAGGTTTCTACGTCATAAGAGGGTCCGTTTTCAGAAGGTACTATTATTTATGTCCAAAAATAAAACATTCCAGTTAATTTTTCGATCGAATTATGTCGTCAATTATTAGTTATGTATAAAAGGGTCATTATAAACATGGTTTGAGTTAAAAGTTCTACTAAGGTGTACACGCCTATTGAATTACTTTATAGCAAATACATTCAAGTCAAACATTGGCAAACAATCTATGTTTCATAATGGAAATTCATTACCGAATGTATTGAAAAAAATACATGATGTAAACAGATTTAAAGTCAATCTTAAACAATACCTGGCCAGGACAATTTGATTGAAAATATTTGACATGATTTGATTACTCAGAATTGAAATGTTATAACTTTCATCTTAAGAAAACGTATGAATTTGTTTCCACTGAGTGGAATTCATTTCAGATATGTTTCTTGGGGTATTAAAAACAATCAATCAATAAAAAAGAATCAATAAGTATCAAGTATATTCACCTCTCCCCCTTCTAGAGGTACTATTTTCGAATATTCTGTACTGCATATAACAGAATCATCTCTGGAGATGGGCTGTAAGCTTTCCTTTCCGAAAAATGTCTCGCAGTCAGATGGAGAGTCGGAAAAGTATTGCCACGGTTGCCAAGATGATCCGTAATCTGCGGATTTTTCAAGTATCCACAAACCGGGTCTAGGAGAGTTGGCCATTTTTATGTAAACATAGGCAACGTGGAATTCCTGGAAGAAAACAATGAGAAATAATTGGTTTGTGTGACTTTATACTGAGTCTTCAGTGATGATCTGATGATATTAAACTCCTAGATGGTACCTAGAGGAAATAGAATTGATGAGATCAAGAGTGAGACCCAAGTTGAGGTGATATGACAAATTATTTTCATTCGATTTGAATTTTTAGAGTGGATTTATGTACTTAAAGACTTTGGTAACCGAAATTTACCAATCCATAAGAGTGTTGAAGCAAAAGCACTCAGTTATTTGTTTCAATCAGAAAGTAGTAAATGGCAAAAATATTTTATGCTATCTTGAGTAAAGAGGTTATCTAGAATTTTTTTTCATTTTGAATTTTGAAATTTATATAAGGATATTTTTCTTTATTTAGGAAAAGTGTCATTCTACATTCCAATATCGAAGGGATTGAATTTATTTATTAATAAAGCGGCGTTCACAACCAAACTTTTAACGTTTTGCTTTTTACGTTTCGTATTCTGATTGGTGAAGCCAAATCTGTAATTTAAATGACGTTGCAAGAAGCCATCGTCTGTGAAAATAGTAAAAATAGACAAATGATATTGTTATAAAAATAGAAAATACTAATGTTAGTTCTGATAGAATAATATATGTATGGAACATATTATATTCTATGTATGGAAGTTATGATAATGTTTTTGCTCATGATTTTTTCGTGAATCCACAGAATAATAGATAGGTATACTCTGTTCAATTTATTATTTTCTTCTTGAGGATTGATTTTCCTCTTCAAGTATTGAATAAGGATCAATTTACGTCACCGCCGCAGTTCTATGAATATAATTAATTATCTAATCAATATTATTGTTATGATTATTCAACTTCATTTGAGGATGAAACACAAATGACAAAACCAAGGCAACTTGATTTATTTTTGCTGTGAATGACATTTACATAACTTAAATTCACGTTTAATTTCAGATTCTGCTTCACCAATCAGAATACGAAATGTTAAAAGCAGAACGTAAAAAGTTTGGTTGAGAACGCCGCTTAATTTTTGTGGCCTATGGCTTCTATATGAATTGATAAATTATTTTCGGAGGAAAAATACACAAATAAGTGGTCTAATTAGCAAAGGATTTCATTCATTTCGAATCCATGAAAAAATATAAAAATATAATATTTGTATGATTAGTGACACAATTTATCATAAATGAATAATAACGGCCAATACAATATGATCTCATGACCCCTTGGTCGTATCAGACCAATGAAACTTTGAAATTCCATAATAATATAGCAAGGAAGGAAGATAAAGCAAGACTATATATTTAATTTTTATTTATCACTTGAACTGATTGTGCAGCCTAGTGGATAGTAAATAATCACGTTCGTAGGCGTCGGCTTCCTATATTAGACGAATAATAAGAATTTATATCGAAACGAACACAGAGCGTTCCTAAATCAGACATCATGTTTTTTGATTTTATCGGGAATCCTGGCGAGTAAAAATCGAAGATATACAGGGTTGGGATGGAGTATGGAACCAAGCAAATATCTAATATAAATACAGGGTGATTTCAAAACGTGTCGGATTTGAAAATGTTATCGCCAATGTTGCCACTTTTTCAGTTATTCCGGAATTATTATTAACTTCCTTATTTTGAATAAAACACCATGTAATTTAATAAATTTTCAGATTCTCCCTAAAAAGCTGATTTCATCGATCTAACACACTTGGGTTCTAGCCGTGTCTAGCGGGAATGATTACAGAGATATGGAGTGTTCAAAATCGAGATTTTTCAACTTTAGGATTTTTTTGTGTCGAAACTATTCATTATTCGTCGAAACGGCTCACATGTCCGTGTCTTAACTATTGATTTACTATCTATTGACATTCAATTGAAACAGATACAGGATGATCAGAATTCTGATTCTAGAACCACCCCGTATGCGTTCTAATTAAATGTCAATAGATAGTAAATCAAAAGTGAAGATAGGGACATGTAGGCCATTTTGACCAATAATGAATAGTTTCAACACAAAAAAATCCTAAAGTTGAAAAATCTCGATATCACTGTAATCATTCCCGGTAGACCCCAAGTGTGTTAGATCGATGAAATCAGCTTTTTAGGGAGAATCTGAAAATTCTTCAAAATACAGGGTATTCTGTTCAAAATGAGGAAGTTGATAATATTTCCGGAATAACTGAAGAAGTGGCAACATTGGCGATAACATTTTCAAATCCGACACATTTTGAAATCATCCTGTACATAAATTCAAAAATTCTAACAAACGGTTACCGAGATATTTGCTTGGTTTCATACTTTATCCCAACCCTGTACATAAAATGAGCTTACAGAACTGAAAGAATTAGGAATCCATATATCATATAATATACAAAATAAGCTCACGCTATCTATCAGAGTTCTTGAAAGCTGTCAAAGCGGCCTGTTTACTCTGTTTTCATTGGTTATCACTTTTGTTTTTTGTTTGTGCTTATTGGTCATATAATCAAAACAAACCGCTCAGAAGTTTTCAAGTTGTTGCCATCAGATGGCGCGACGTGTTGATTTCGATCGCGAGTTATACTTTTCTCATGATTTATGAATGAATCGCCGGTGTTTATCTATTGTTATTCAGTCTTTTCAGTGTGAACAAGTGACCATTTAACCCAGAAGGATTATCCTAACCACGGACACGACTTTATGAAGAGTTTGTGTTCAATGAACGCGCAGAAGTAATGTATCCAGGAATATCAAGAATAGTCTATAGAAACGATAAATAAGTACGAAAAATAGATTTACGATCCTGCTGGGTTATAAAATGGTTGTATTGGTAGTAGTAAAACCTCGAGTAAAACTTAATTCGCATGGAATGCGTGAAGAGTATCCTTTCATTTCACCACCCGACATTGATTTTATGGCCACCTGAACTCAACGATATTTTGTAGGTTTATAAATTCACAACTACCATATATGAGTGGAAAAGGAATATTCGCGGATATAATTATGAACATAAAAAAATGGATACATATAATAAAGAGAAATACATTGACAATTCGCATTCTCTATGTGATGAAAATGTCAATTCTTTCTCGGTTTATTCAACAGAAAACAACTACTTTCCTGGCTATATGCCATGACGAACATTATGAACATGATGAATATCAATTAATCATACATCCAAAAAATATATATATATACAGTGTGGTCATTTAAGTAAATTATGTAAAATAACAATCGTTGAAAAGAATAAAATTCTAGCATAATCATATTTTGGCTTCTTCGGAATCTATAAAATATTTTATGCATAGGATTGAACTGTATGTGTTATTTGCTAAAAGGGTTTAGCAAAGACATAAACAGGAACATCGGGAAGCCAATCCCAATTTTCATGAAAATATACAGTGTGGTCATTTAAGTGTGCAACATATGGGAATCTTTTTAATGAATTGCACAACCAAAATTCAGATAGTGCCGAAAGTTGGTGCATATTAGGTAATCATTTTAGGTGCACTTAGAATGGTTGCATGTCAAACAGCATACAGGGTAGGTCAAAAAATATATAAATTGCTCAAGAGTGAAGTACCCTCATTTCAGAAAATTCAGCAAAATGTTATTGGGAAAAGTTGAACAATTGAAAGTTATGTCTAAATACCAAAACATGGCCACCTGAGACATTTTTTAGTTTTCAAATTATGATCGTTAATAATTTCCCAATTTGTAATATTTTAAATAAAAAAATGTTCACACTAAATGGAAGTTTCATTAATGATGTTTTACCTTGTTGAAAATATGGTTTGCGAAATTTTATAGTTAAGCTGAATATCGTTGCAACAAACATGAAGATTGTGATTCCCTAAAAAAATTAAAATCCGAGTTAATTTCACAAATAATCTTGAATTTAAACAAATGCATGCTCAACTGATTTTGTTACGATTGATTTATGAAAGTATTTAGGGTGAATATGAAGGAAATTACATATTGGGAAATTATTCACGAACAAAATTGAAAAACTAAAAAATGTCTTAGGAGGCCATGTTTTGGTATTTAGGCATATTTTTCAATTGTAAATACCTTTCCTCAATAACATTTTGCTGAATTTTCTGAAATAAGGGTACTTTACTCTTGAGCAATTTTCATATTTTTTGACCTACCCTGTATGTTGTGTGACTTGTAACCATTCACCAACTTTCAGCACTACCTGTATTTTGGTTGTGCAACTCATTAAAAAGATTCCCATATGTTGCACACTTAAATGACCACACTGTATATTTGAGTTGAAATGGACATGAATAACAGAGACAAAATTATTAGAATTGGATAGTATTATTGAATTATTAATCAGAAATATATAAACATAAACTCAAAATTATTATCCAAGGGTTCAGGGATCCTTATTCAAATACAATTTTTGAGATAAAGGTAGAGGTAGAATCTCAAAAAATAATCCCCGATCGATTGCATTGAAAAATATTCAGCTTTTCGCTTTTTCATCTGAAATATGTGGACCATATTATTTATGACTTCACCATATTTCATAGTTAGCTTCTTCGTATTTTCATTCAATATTTTTGTCTTCATGGACTTTACTTCATTTTTGTCAGCACATGTGGTCTCAGTGATGTAGTCTACAGATAGTTTGGTCTGACATCTCGTTAAAACTATTTTGAATTTTACGAGATTTGTTTCTATAAGTGTGATATCATAAAGGTCAGTACACTGTCAAATATAGCGTAATAGCGATTATATTCACGATGATCTAATGCGAAGAATATCAAATGACAAGTGTCGAGTTTATCGCTTGTAAACGCTTGTAACGAAACTCACTTTCCGTTCATAAAATAATGATAAAAATAGAACAACTACTCCTAAGAGATTCTTTCTATTTTAGAAAATGAAACGAAATGAAGAGGAAATATAATAGTGCAACACCATCACTGCTTTACCCAGACAGCACAGAATATTCTATGAATGTTCTCACAACGTTCACAACATACCTAAGAATATGATGAGGATGTTCTGAATGCTCATAGAACGTTTAACGAGAATATTCATAGAACATTATTTCAATAAATATCCTAGGAACGTTTATAGAATAATCCGTTATATTCTATGAATGTTATTCAGAAATAATCATCGAATATTCTAGGTATGTTCTCCAGGTAGATACCTATGTTCATCGAATATATTATTTAGATACTCTGAGAAAGAGAAACAAATTTGTTCACTATAAACATTATATATGTCCTAGCTTGCTTCATTTTTGAAATTCAGGAAGTCAAATTCTTCAAAAAAAAAACGATTTTTCATTGATTATTCAAAATCTGTTTCGCTGATCTGATGAAACTTGATATGCTCATCTGCGGTAGCAATAGGGTTTAATGAGAGTTTTCTCTAATTACTTTCTTCCTACCCGTTAGGGACAGTGTATAAATGTATAAATGATATATAAATTAAATTCATACATCAAAGACAATAGTAGTCGTGGACAAAGTATGGTATTTTACTCGTATATAATGAGCTATTATTCACTCAGGTTAATTAACTTAACCGTCGTGAATAATAGCCCTCATTATATGCTTGTTGAATCATATACTATCATACACCAAGGTTGTGAAGAATATCATTATTACCCAGAGACCAAGATTATATCCAGAGGCTTCAGCCGATACTTAGGATCTCAAAGTGTACCAATAAAAAATATATCATAAAGTATTTGTGAATAACTGGTATTTCAAACACTTGAAGACCTTATACTTTAATATACTATTTTGAGATATTTACACGAGCTTACATGGAATTCATGTAATTTTTCTGAAGTTGATTACTATGCATATTCTTTGATTAGCTTCTATAAAAAAAGTATCCAAGTATGTACTTGATCAACTCACCACCTAGAGAAACAATTCGTAATGATTTACTATCGAAAATGATATGCAAGCTGGGGAAGATGTCGACATTTTCAATAAAAGGATAGGTATTTTAAACTGTAGGAAAGTACTTTTTTCTACTGCTATAACACAAAATTGCTCTTTTGTTACTGTGTTCGATACATCAATGAGGTACTTTGTATGTCATCAATTCTATTTCCGTATCTCATATCACAATGACTCCATTATGTTATTATTTCAAAACGCTCGTTGCTCACGGAATGTCAAAATTCAAGCGATGACAGCTCTGTCTCATAGATGAGCATTACTTGACAGGAAATCAGATGGCTACAAGACAAAGAAATAAAAAATGTCGTTGTTTCCTGTTACAGCCGTAGAAAAATTATAGTGTATAACTCGCATGGAATGCTAATTTTCCACTCGAATGATGAGCCGTCATTCCGTACTGGTTAAAAAATATACGAATTCTTACACATAGACTGAGGTACCTACTAAGAAGTCAATGAACAAGTACATTTCCTCTTCCTAGTAAGTACTTTATATATATAAAAAAAACAGTTTGACAGTATTGTAGTGTTGTAAATTGGTTTTTTTACACGCTGTTAGACAGTTTATTTTCAAAACCTCAGGAAATTAATGAATTTCAGAGACTTGCAAATGGATTGTGTATCACTACTATATTACCTAAATGTAAAAAATAATTATTTCAAGTTCTTAATCTAGATACATCTCTAATTGATATATCTAAATTCGATCTGAATAAAATGGAATACATTGATGAAACTACATAAAAATATAACTTTTATGTATGTAAAGTATATGCCCATCACTGGGAATGATAATGTTTTTTTATATAAAATTGGGGTAAAATGGGAATTACTCAGTTTGAGAGAGATAGACAAAGACAAATTGATTATTACTTACGAGTAATCAATAAACATCAATAATCGTCATAATTTCTGTGCACTCTATGATAAATAATGATACTATCCTAATGAATCTGATCATAAAACCTAGACAATTGTTATATTAATTATCCTTAATGTTTTGTTGCTTACCTGACCAAAATCAATAGTGAGGTTAACTTCGTTGTATTTCATTCCTCTGGATAATGGGGGACTTTGCCACCAGTTTTCCGTACCATCCACAGCATATTCTGGGGGGTGCCTCTTGTCAGGCCTAGCTGGATCACAACTATCACAATACTATAACAAAAACAAGAAAACAGATTATCATAATGTAATGAAGATTATACTAACAGTAGGTGTCCACCCCTGTTTTGACAAGCCAAATAGACACATCAAGCATCAAGGTAACTTGATTCTCATGAGCGAGTATTTCAAAACATCAAGTGATTGAAGGGTAATTAAATCATCTAATAAATCATTTACGGATAGTTGAGCCGTACAGGGCCCAATAATGAACCCTGTGGGGTATTTAAATCTCCACTGCAATAATGTGGTACTTGAGCCTGTGATATTTAGTACACTGACACTAACTCGTTTTACTATTACGGCAATCTGATCTTTGTTGAAATATATCAAGATATGTTGTGGGCTGAAATAATGAAAATATAGGTACTGATACAATATGGAGAAATTGCTCCGATTGCTCGGATCCTATGATAACTAGGAACATATGATTCAGAAACGAATTTGAACTAGATAACAGGGTCTATAACTTGAATTTTGAATGTATTGTCGCATAATATACAGTGTGCACTGAATAAAATCTGCAGGGTTATCTATTCGACAGAGACTTATGTACTATTTCATGTACAAAGAAACTGATGGGAGACAACTTGAACAGGAAAACACTAGTTTTACCAGGTTCTACAAATCATTTCAGAACCTATGTAATTTATATTTTACATCATTTTGATTATATATCCGGTTCTTCAAAAGGTATCACCAAGAGAGAGAGGTTTAGAGATAGAAAATATGTGGCTGTCTGATTTTTTTTAACGGTGGCCTATAGCAGTACCGCAAGATTCAAATTGACTCGATTAATGATAGATCAAGTTTGTCAAATTTTGTTGTACCAGGCATTTTTTTATCTCTTGGAGCGCACGAGAGGAAATCCCTATAATGTCCTGAGAACATCGTAAGTACCTATAGGGAGGATAGGGAGAGGAGGTAGGTAGTAATAAGTGATTTTTTTATTGTGCCATTATTCCTATTATTTTCTTGAAACCTGTATGGTAATGCTTTCCGAGATACAACCGGTATCCTTTCTTTATTGTACATCCAGTACTCTCGACTAGTAATCAGAATAATATTGAAAGTCGTTAATCTATGTCGAAAGGTTGCTAGTTCGAATCCCCGGCAGAGCAGAGAATTTTTATGTAAAACACGAGTTATACCTAAATCCTATAATTTTCGTAGCTTCGGCCGGAAATGATTCCGCACGATTCGCTGTTGCATTCCAAATTAATCGTGCTGCTACTGAGGTGGCGTATGGTGTCAGTAATACAGCCTACACAGAACACACCTGGGCTGAAGGATCTCTCGTAAGGTCGATGGCGAGTTTTTTTTTTTTATATATTGGTGCGCACGGAAGGGAATCCAAAGAAGTACATATACTACTACTGAACTAATATTGACCCTGTGGAAAGATATAGGTATATCTATATACAGTACTGAATGATAATGGTGAGAGCAACATCTTATCAGGTGTCAGAGATGTCACGTTGTGAATCTCAACAAACAATTTTGTGCTTGACTTGGCGAATAATGAATGAATACCATTCAGTCCTCAAGTCTGAAAAATGCACCATACAAATTCCAAGAAATTGACAATATAGGACAGACAGCACGGCAACTGACCATTTACCTACGTAGGTATTATGTGTTTCCTCATTCATTTCATTCGTTGCGGCTCAGCCTATACTACCTACCCTTGAACCTTTATCTTACGCCATACCCTTGCCACAGCCCTTGCCATACATACCAATGGGCAATTAATAGATCTACCACCCCCACAAATGATTAGTATTTTGTGTTTGTGTCAACTGTATGTATGAGATACTGTTATGCATGTTATAAAAACTCCATATTGTTTCCTGTCAAATAGATGAGTCTTAAAATAAGTTATGGATTTTGATAACAAAATCTGTTATTTACGTTTCTACTTTTATGAAGAAAAGGTGTGTGTTGCTAGAATATACTCTGAGATATACGATATATCTTATACCTGTATGCATATTAATGAATAATTTATTTTCAAGATCAAATAAATTTTGCTTATGAAAATGGCACCTTATTTCTAAAGGGTAATTTATTAAAATCTTATGTATTCTCAATCACATAATATAGATCTATTATTGAACACTATCCCACACTATATTAAAAAAATAAAGAACTTTCGTATTAACTTATAATGAATTAATAAGAACTTTTCGGTTTTCTGTTCAATTCCTATATTATGTAGGTATAGGTATATATACCAATTTTTATCAAATTTCGTAGGGTGTATACTTTGTAGAGAACAATATTTTCCATTTTTCATATTGAAAACGGGAGCAGATTCGTTCCCGAAACGTCCAAAAATAAGTAAAAATTCTATATATTTTCATTATATCTCTATGTCTCTTTTTCAAACATTTTTCAAAATAAGGAGTCACTGACAATGGATTCTTATTTTATAGAAACGAGGTGAGAGAATAAAAAAAATGAAAAAAATTATGTACCACCTTTTCGATTAACCTACAGAAACTAGTGAAACCTAATTTGAAAAATGTTCGAGGAAGAAGAATAAAGGTATATTGAGAAAAAATAAAATTCTTCTTATCATCAAAAAAATTGTGGAAATTATTATACATGTAAAACACAGACCTCTCTCAGTAAGGACAAGAGAACATAAGTACAATATCGGTACATTGCGAAAAAAATACATATCGACAAATTAAAATTCTTACTGAAAATGGACATAGAGTGGAATGATTTCAAAATCATAGGAAGAGATAACAACCAGAAAAGATTAATTGAAGAATCCGCTTGCATTCTTCTGAACGGAGATGATAACATTGCTTCCTGTTCAGTTGATATTGATGAAACATGGTTTTCATTTCTAAAATCTGAGTATGAAAATGGTAAATTCAAGATCAATTAGAAATAGGTACACAAAAACTAGAACATTGATATAAAGAATTATTTTCCATTTTAATGTTGAAAACGTCCGAAGATAAGTGAAATTCGATATTTTAAACATTTATTCTTCATTTTCAAACATTTTTCAGAACAAAATGCCACTGACTTTCGATTGAATTCTTCTAGAGACATTTTGAGCGCAGTGATATTTTGATAAAATGATCTTGTACACTTTCAAAGTGATTATACAGGGTGTTAATTAATTGAGTGCCGAAGGCGCTGAGTTCGTATGGAGACTCCCACCGAGACAAAGGTTCGAATCCTAGTTAGGCCATGGCTGTTTGTGTTTGTATGCTTACCTAACCCCGAACAAGTTTCGACTCACTGGGCGTTTGGTCCCAGTGCTGGGACCAACGAGGTAATGCAATTGCAAAAAAATAGAAGGTCTGAATCCTCGGGTGATTTCAAGGAGAAAAGTTCATATCAACTGATGTCCCGATATGTATTAAAACTCCTAGTTTTTGAGCTACAGGGTGTTAAACTTTTAAGAAAAAAGTGAGTTCATCATAATTTTTTTATCACTGGATATATTCATGAAATTTTGTACACACCTTTTCATCATTAAGGAGCATTTTTGCAAGTGAAAGATATTTCAGAATGTTCACCAGTGACGTCCGTACGGAGTTTGAACTGACAATTTTTGAACAAAAAAATGGCATGCCACTGATTTTTCTGAAAACAAACATATTATTTTTGGAATTCTCCATTCATTTTGAAGCATATTTGATGTGAATACTTACTTTCATACGACGTAACGTTCTAGCGTAGAGAAAGAAAAACCGAAAAAATAATTTTTCTGATATTGTTCTTGGCATTTTGTTAAATATTTAGTAGGCACCCACTATCGATTTAAAAAAATGTACGCCTCTGATTTTAACACCCTGTAGCTCAAAAACGAAGAGGTTGAGGACATATGTTTATATAAACTTTTCTCCCTACACCTTGTATTATCGAAAATCAATTAATTAACACAATATTACAAGGTGGGTGGGGGTTGAGTTGTAAGATGAGTTTGATTTTCAAATGAATTCTCAAATTATATCATTAGTTTCTCAAAGAGAGCGTTCTTTCATGCCAGAAGAATCATATCTCCAACCGAATTTAACATTTATAACTTCAAGCCCATTTATCGAATTTGAAACATCTTGTCTCCTATCTTGTCAAAATATATACAAAATTATCTCACGGTTCAATGAACAGCATTATCGTTTCAATGAACATGATAATGATAGCAGGTCGATTTTAAAATGTAGAATTTGAATTAATTCATTACGAATTGATTCCTATATTATTATTAGTTTCAATGAACAATATGTTATTCGAATCAGATTACAGTGTTTTTCCAATACATCTCATGTTACAAACATCTATGACAATATAATACAATGACAATAATAACTCGTAATATGCATTCCGGTATCATTCAGGAAATTTCCAATTTCAAATAGTTTCCCACCCGAATTTGTGTATTGCAATGTCGTACAAGCCCGGTTCTGAAAATTCGAACTTGACGCAGGCATCGAGCGAATTTGAAAGCCAGTGGAAATCATTTCTGGACAAAAGTGCCCTCTTGAAATTCTCAGTGGACCACGCAAATCGCACTCAGTGCCGAAAAAGTTTGAATTTGTGCAACGAGGGGAAAACGCTATTTATATATTTCTTGAAGAGTTGTTTCCACAGAGATAATTTAATTTGTTTGGAAGAAGACGGATACTTCAATATACTGTTAGAAATCTCAATTTTGTAAATTCACATTCACAGTTGTACAAAAATTGATTGTTGTTTTTCGTGTAAAAATTTCGTGTTTTCATGGCACATTCGAGAGAATTGACACTCATATGTGCCATTAAAAAAACAATTGATACAAAAATAACTATTTTACGCCGGCGGGAGTAGTTAGTTAGTTTCTCTGGTAACAAAAGAGGGGCAGAAATCTCGTATTATTGCCTAGGGAGATAATGTGACATATTTTCTCCGTAGGGATTTTATACCAACTTTACATTTTCTGCATAGCTCTGCGCTTTCTTCTCGGAGCACCCTTCTCTGAAGCGAGTATAAGCTGCATCATACAGATTTCTAGATCTCACTGGTAGCAACTAGCAAGTTAAGAATCACTGCGGAAGTAGTATCAATAGTTTCTTGGGGGTTTCCCTCGATTTTTTGTTCCATAACCGTTAACCATTTTCAAAGCTATTTTCATAAATTTCAGTTTGATGTTTGCTGTCACCATGGGTTGACAAGATGCATGTTGTCAAGATACGAATTCCACAAACTATACTACTACTAATTATGACAAAACACTTTGACTAGATTTTTATTCTTTCTCAATTTTTGTATTTTCGCAAGCGTAAAAAATAGTATACAGCCTGTCCAAGATAAGGTTGAACAGCATGGGGATCTCGGAAACGGTAGGACATACGAAGTCGTTTGAATGAAGAAAAAGTTGCGCATTCGGAGGCTCATATCAAGAGCCTTCGAAAATTTTGAAAATTATTTTCAGTTTTTGAGTTATATCGAAAAAAGTGAATTTTTGGAATATCTATTTTTTTTTTTCGTTATTATTAGAGATACAGAAAAACTGAAAATACTTTTTCATAGCAACTTTTGATGACGTTTAACATGGTGATACCGATTTTTTTATGCGACGTTTCGTATCCGTAGAACCATCATCAACTTTTGTTTTTTAAATACGGTCCTGATAATTTTTTCACAGATTTTGAAAGGTTTTTTTTATTCTGAATTCAACCATGTATTATACAAGGTGATTAGAATGTGTTTCGACCTATTTCTATCCATCATTAATGATTTTTCGAACTTCCAAAGGAAAAAAGCCATCAGTTCCACTTATTTCTGATCATTTAGTGTCAAACTTGATGGATTAGTTATTCAATACTAAAAAGTGAATGAAAAATATTTCACTACATCATTCGATCAATGCAGCGCTTAAAATTGTTGATGAATTCTTACACGAATTACTTCAACAACTTAACTTTGACGATACCTACAGAGACATTCATAACAAATGTTCAAAATGATAACCATTTTTTTCTGAACAAAGATATCCTCTTCTCAAAGTTGCTTCCAAGACATTGCTAAGCATTTCTGGGGCCATTCTATTGAATGCTTCGAAGACACTGTCCCTTAGTTCTTCTTCATCATCAAAGTTATTTGCGTATACAAAGTTTGATATATCCCCTATTAAGAAAAAATCCAGCTGTGTCAAATCAGGCGACCGCGCCGGCCAAGGGACTGTAGAATGAGTACCAATCCATGTTTCTGGATAAAAACGCACGGACTTCTCTGGAATTATGTACCGGAGCGCCATATTGTTGAAACCAACAGTTCTGAACTTCCGCAATCGGTAAATCATCCAGAGCTTCCTCGAGATGATTCTCATGCAAATTTCTATAACGTTCGGAAGTATGTGTTTCATGGTAAATAAAAGGACCAATAATTCGTGTACCAAATATTGCAACCCACATATCAAAGCCGAAACAATAATATGTATTTTTTCAATCGAAGATACCATGATTAGTGACCATGCTTTCATCAGTCCAGATGATTGTTCGAGGGAAATCTGCAAAATTTTGACATACCACTCACAGAATGTCCTGCGCCTTTCGTCATCGCGTGGTTTCAGCGCTTGACATATTCTGAATTTGTATGGATGGAATTTTTGTTTCCGCAAAATGAAATGGGTTGTTGATTGAAACCAGTTGATGAGGTATTAGTGTGTTGACTAATTAAAAGTTGCTATGGGAAAGTATTCTCAGTTTTGCTGTATCTCTAATAATAACGGAGAAAAAAAAATGGATATTCACTTTTTTCGATATAACTCAAAAACTAATAATGATTTTTAAAATTTTCGAAGGCTCTTGATATGAGCCTCCGAATGCGCAACTTTTTCTCCATTCAAACGACTTCGTATCTCCTACCGTTTCCGAGATCCCCATGCTGTTCAACCTTATCTTGGACAGACTGTATACTCTTCAGGACAGAATGCTTGCTTCTATGTCCCTTGATGTATAATTTACAATTTCTTTGCTCTTTTCATCTGGTTAACCTTTCACACCTCATCCTACATTCCGATTTTTTAGCTCCAAACTCTTTTTCATAACTCCCAACTCACCTGCCCTTGGATAACGTTCACCGTCAAGTCGTTCTCGGAGTTGGCGCCGATCAGCTTGCAGAACAGCTCGGGCCCTTCGATGTCCTCGCCGCACGTGGCGCTCGCAGTTATATTCTTCCCTTCGGCCAGGTTGAAATAGGGCGGCGTGAGCGACTCCCCGCGCGCCCATCCAGCGCCCAAGGCCACCAGCACAAGCGCCCAAAGGGCTATATTGGACGGAGCCCAAAGGGCCGTATTGGACGGCACCCAAAGGGCCGTTCTTAGGCGCGATCTCCGGTCCGTCAGCATCTCGCAGAGACTGGACGCGGACTGAAGATTCGACGGGATTTCGGAGTGTTTTGTGGGTTTGTGTACGAGCAGTGTGTGTGTTCGAAGAAGAATACGGAGGCTCGCGCGGACAGCGTGTTCGAAGTGCAATTTGTTAGGCCCTAAGGCAGGGCCGCATTCGATAATTTTTATGCGAGATTGGAAATTCACTCAATGGCAGAGTGATTCGTTATCTAATTATTTTTACCTACGGCCACTATAGAAAGTAGGCAAAAACACACGAGATACAGCCTCAGTAAGTAACTCTTTAAGCACAGTAAGCACATCGCACAGTTTTCGTTTATTCTGCCAGTCATGATCGCGTAATCGCCGTCAACAGCGGATGACATAACTGTCAAGAATTCTAATTCAGACAGTTGATGTACATGTACTATATGGCAGTAGGTAAAGTATAGTACGTAATGCGTGTTGTGAAGCAATTACGCAATCATGGAATTACTTTTCCATTCGTGCGTAATATATGCTTCTTACAACACATATTACGTAATATACTATTATCTACTCACTGCATCCCACGGGTCGAAAAAAATATTACCTCCCGCGGGAAGTAAAATAAATCGGCTTCAGCTTGCTTTCTTGGTAGAGACATATGATCTGTGCTATCCAATTACCTAATCAGTGTATCCAACGCTACGATACAACAAATAACAATTTCCTTTTTGAACTTCAATGATCTCATACACCTCCCCATATTCCAAACTTACTCAATAAAACAAATCGTTCAGATTCGAACACTGTCAGTTGTCCATGCATGGCATATGTACTACACTTTTGTAATACATTGATTTGGATCGAGACTCGAGAGATAGACCGCTTGAAGCACAATTTTAAGAACGACGCTCTCAAATATATATGAGTTCGTTCAAAGGTTCATTTCCTCCCATGTATCTTTAAATGGATATCTTTGTTCCCTTGATATATAAATAGCTATTTTCTACTACTACTACTTTTTTCCCACGGGGAAAGAGTGAGTACTATTTTTCCCAAGAATACAGAATAACGTATTTGAAAGCAGGACACCCGCATATATTTTTTTTATTTATGGAGCGATTTTCACAATTCTTTGTTCAACATATTGAGGGGGAAAATGTGTATTTTGGAACTAAGTGGTGCCCATTTTTTGTAGAAAAAAACAAGGTCTACTAGATCACTTTCAGAGGCTGAAAAATCCACAATCCATAATAGCGATCTTTTTCAGAAAAAATCTGCGAACCCCACTGGAATCGGCGTCCTATGAAATAGACCCGTACCATGTTTCATGGATGAATATTCAACATTAACGAATCTACAGCGTGTCTCATTTCAAACGCCCCCCCCCCGTATCTCAGCTATTACTTGTACGATATCTTTACAAATCGGGACCACTATGAATAATCATTAATATGATCAGTTTTTCAGAGACGACCTTCTTTTTGGCCAGTGCCGTACTTTTTTTTAATGGAATAAAAAGTGGTCGATTTTTATGAACTCATATTAGGATTATTTTTGAAAGAACAATAACTTCATATTATTGTTCCTCATGCTTTCGAATCTCCATATGCAAAAAATCACCTCATTTTGAATCAACAGAACTGGCTTAATTTTTTTCATTTTCAGCCTCGGAAAAATAGTGAATTCAAATCAACTGTGAATTTTGGAACGTTCAATAGTTCCAGTAGGTATAAAATCGCCGTGATTCGAAACAAAAAACAATAAATACTATTTTATGTTGAACTCCGTTTCCGAGTGAATAATTATTACGTTCGCAAAAATGCTGTTCAGATGTACCTGTTCATTTGAAACAGTTTATAGGAATCATATGAGAGTTTACATATGGGGGTTTAGAACCATGAAGAACATTATGAGCTCATGTTTCCTGTGAAGAAATTCCTAATATTTCATAAAAAATGTACCCATTTTCAATTCAATAAAAAACGCCCGGCACTATCCAAACGGATGTATGTCTCTGAAAAACTAATCATATTGATAATCATTCATACCGGTTCAAATTTGGTAAAGATTTAGAGGGCAGGCCGTTTGAAATGAGACTGTAGATTCGTTAATGTTGAATATTTTCTCATGAAACTTTGGTACAGATCCATTTCAGAGGACGCCGATTCCAGTGGTGTACAGGATTTTTTCTAAAAAAAATCGACAATATGGATTCTGGATTTCTCAGCCTCTGAATGTGATCCAGTAGGCCTTGGTTTTTGAAAAAATGGACGCCGCTTAGCTCCAAAATACACCTACATTTCGAAAAACAAAAAACGTGAAAATCGCTCCATAGATAAAAAATTTATGAGCGTGTCCCGCTTTCAAATGGGTCACTCTGTATACACTGTTGATGGATTTTATTGCGCTAGTTCCGAGAAATAAGGTATTAACACTGTCTCCGAGAAAGAACTGCAAGTCTTTTTATTTTCCATTTCACTTCGCGGTTATGTAAATTACTAAACAATTAACCACTAAGTTCACAATTTTTTAAAATCAAATCACATAATTAGACTGATTACTTCGAAAGAATGATAATAATGCCTGCAAAAAGATGCATGCAACGCAAGTGTTATTCCTGTTAGAAACTTTAATTTCACGTCGATAATTTTTTTATTTTAATATAATGTTGTAATATCTTGTCAATATTGATTCGTCCTTTTCTCTGTCACAGAAAAAAATAGTGTATTATACACGTAAAAAATATTAGATTTTATCTCACGGATTTTTGTCTCCCTCCGCTACGCATCGGGATACAACTCAACCTCGAGCTATATAAAATCGACTACTTTTCTCCCTTGTATAATAAATACGAGAATATGTTCCTCTCAAATATTGATCTGAAGGCTATTTTATAACTGTCTGAAATTGAATATGAGTTGAGATTTTTTAAACAAGGTTTTTTTTCGAGGTTTTATATGGAAATTGAATGTTAAGCAGGTGATCCGAAATTCCAACCTGCAATTTGGATCAGAAAATCATTTCAGAGCCGACCCTGTCGTCGACCGCTCATCAGCAGCCACAGCATCCGATAGACACAGAGGTCCAGATGAATTAGAGATGCATTTGGGTTTCAGACCGACTGCTGCAGTATATCTTTCATCTTTCTTCAGAATGGTAGGAAAAACAGGTCTATCTCTGTTATTCTCGGAAGTTTATCACCCTACCGCATGTTGTAATAGCATACAAACACTAGAATAACATATTGAACAACAAAGCAATTTTCAAGTTTCTTTGTAATCAATAATTGTAGAACAAAATTTGTAACATGTAACAATCTAATCCTTGTTTTTTAATTAATATATTCATCTCGAAATTTGAACAATTGCTTTTGGTACATGAAAAGAAATGTTTTTTCTGTGAAGAAAGAAAAGTGGGTACTTTTTTCACGGATATATACAGAGTGACCCATTTGAAAGCAAGCCACCCCCATAAATCTCTCATTTATGTTACGATTTTGACCAACTTTTTTTTGAAATGTAGAGGAGGGAAACGTGTATTTTGGAGCTGAGGAACCAAGGCCTACTTGTCCATTTTCAGAGGCTGACAAATCCAGAATCCATATCACCGATTTTTTTAGAGAAAATTTGCGTACACCACTGGAATCGACGTCCTTTGAAATAGATCTCTACCAAGTTTCATGGAAAAATATTCAACATTAACGAATCTACAGCGTGTCTCATTTCAAACAGCCCCCCTCTAAATCTCAACTTTACAGTAAATCTTCAATCTTCAAGGTTTCAAACCCCCATATGTGTTTTTCTATATGATTCCTTTGAATTGTTTCAGAACAACAGGCAATAGGCTCTTCTGAAATATCAACAATTGTGCCTCCCTTGGCAGTCCCCACGAGATTAACCCGTCGAGTTGAGGCTTCGCACCCCTTCGTGATCACTTTGGAGACCTGCAGAACATCTCTTTCCAAAGACTCGTTCATCCAACGAACAGCGAGGTTCTGGAACACATTGCCAAGGGAGGTGTTCCCCGAGGCATATAACCTCCAGAAATTCAAGAACCATATTTCCCTTGGTTCTCACGATGTTTTCTGAACATTACAGGATATCCCTTTTCGTGGGAACCAGAATATAAAAAAAAATTAACAAAATTTCTGCGAACGTAGGTATTAATTATTTACTCGAAACGCTGACTTTAACATAAAATAGTGTTTATTTACAACCGTATATGTAATGTTGTCATTACTAACGTCATTGAAGGTTGGGAAGTGTCACATTACATACCTATACTTCCCGCCATCACTTCCCACCCTCACTTTTGTAATATTTAAGGTATGTTCAGAACGAAACAGAGATTTATTAATTTTGATCGAAATATGATTGTTGTGAATGAAATAGTATAAAAACCTCGGTAGGAAGTTTCATTCCTGTTTCATTTGCGCTCGGTTAACTAACTCCCAGATAGCACACGACGTCCCGGGGACGTACATATTACGTCCGATTCGGGTCCGTAAGTCCAGGAACCTAATATGGACGTCCTCAGAACGTACCATGCCGTACGTCTTCAGGACGTACAGAGCGTACGTTTTCAGGACGTCCATTTTTAGTCTTCAGTTTTTCTATATTCATTATTCACTCTACATTTATTATATTTTCCAATAACAATAAAACATTGCTAGATGTGATCGAATGGAGAAGGAATAAGGGCCCTTATTATTGGTTGCCGATTAATTCGATAATAGGTCACAATGAATCACGTGATTTTTTGTGACCAATGTGGAGAAATTGAAGTAAATCTGGCAATGTTCGCATATATATTTTTATCCTAAATAGAGTGTTATCTCTTTATTGGATTCAGAGATTTCGGAGGATATACCTAAAGATGAAATTATGTACACATTGTCTTACGTCCTGGTCTTTATATGACCAATCAGAAAATTCAGACTGATTCATAGCGAATTCCATTGAAATGAGCTGGTGGAGTGTTTCTGCACTCAATGTATATGTTTCCATCTTATACTCGCATATGTTGAACAG